TTCAAAATGTGTTATTACCGCTTCTAAAAATAAATAATGCTAATATACATATTACTGATAATGAATTAAAAGTAGGAATTAATATTGACGGTCTCCCAATATCCAGAAGCAGCAAGAGCCAACTTTGGCCTATATTAATTTCTATTTTAAATTGTAATAATTTATTATCTAAAATTGTAATTCCAATTGGTATATTTCATGGGTACAAGAAACCACATTTCATTGAAGAATATTTAAATCCATTTATTGATAATATTTTAGATGTATTAAGAAGTGGTTTAGATGTAAATGGAACTAAAATTAATTTAAAAATTTCTAATATAGTATGTGATGCCCCAGCTAAGAGTTTCTTACTTAATGTCAAATATTTTAATGCCTATTTTAGATGTTCATCATGCACTGAAGAAGAATACTTAGAAAATAGGGTTGTTTTAACTGGGACAAATGCCTCCTTGAAAACAGATAAAAGTTTTCGTAATAAATCCAATGAAGATTATCACAAAGGTGATACCCCCTTACTAAGGCTACTTATTAATATAACAGACATAGTCTGTTTAGACTATATGCATTGTATATGTCTCGGTGTCACAAAACGTTTAATTGAATTTTGGGTTCGAGGAAAAAAGAATATTAGGCTGACTGATAATCTAAAACAATGCGTTAATAACGAATTAAAAATATTAAGACCATATTTGTACCATCAGAATTTTGTCGTTTGCCAAGACCTTTAGATGATGTAGACTTTTGGAAAGTTACGGAGTTACGTAGTTTTGTTTTGTATTCAGCAGTAATAGTTCTAAAAGGTAAACTGAAGCCTGAATTTTACAAACAGTTTTTGTTACTAGTGTTTGCCACAAGACTTTTAATATCCTCAGAAACTTGCCATAAATATAACTCAAAAGCATCTGAGTTATTAAAACAATTTGTACAAGACTATGGTTCATTATATGGTCATCATAATATTAGTTATAATGTTCATAGTTTAATCCATTTACCTATGTTTACATTATTGCATGGAACACTTGATAACTTTAGCTTATTTAGATATGAAAACTACTTACAGTACATGAAAAAATCTCTGAAATCAGAAAAATATCCCCTGCAGGAAGTTTATAATAGAATAACAGAAAAACAACAATTATTAACCTCTCAATTAAATGTAATTTCAAATTATCCTATCTTCTCCAATGAAATTGATTGTCATAGCCATTTACCTTTTATAAGTATATCAGATAAATTATATTCAAAATGTGTTTTAAATGTTGCAAAAACTATTATAAATATGACAAATGAAAAAGATAAGTATTTTCTATGTCAAGATTATTCGTTAGTTACTGTACAATACATTATAAAACCTAAGAACAAACCAATTAAATTTATGGTAAAAAAATTTATGACTGTTACAGAATTTAGTGATAAGCCAATTCCATCTCATATTGTTGGAATTTATATAGTGAATACTAATGATTTATGTGATTTATATTTAATATATGATATTGATTTAAAGTATAAGTGTTTTTTCATTCAAATGTCAAATTGTAAGGCAATTGTGTTATCGTTGTGCCACGAAATATTGTAAGCATTATATTACTTACATTATTATATTTAATAACTTATGTCATTCAAACCATAATATTATATATTATTTTATATGTGTATAATAGCGTAATATATTTGAATGAGCTATAGCTATACTTAATTGTTTTGTTAATTTTTAAATTATAATTTACCTATCTACTTTTTTGGAGTAATATAGTATGTATATGAGGTATATCCGATAATCTTATTTATGTTAAATAAACATATCATACTTATGTTATATTTAAGTATTTTAAAACTTGTTTCGAACATTAATAAGCAATTTTATTGATGTTTCTTGTCTGCTCAGATAGAACATTCAGTTAAAATGAAACATAGTTTTAACATAATTTTTACATAAATTTGATGATTGATGAAACAGAATTTTAACATAAAATTGATGTTTGATGAAACATAAATTTAACATAAAATTGACATTTACTAATTTGTTATATTTATATAAATATAACATTATTAGCAAGTCAATTTTCGCGGACATTTGCAGTTTATATTATGTAAAATTTACGTAATTTATACAATAATTTTTAACGTTTTAAGTTAACTGCAAACGTTTATAAAACATAAATATTACAACTTTTTTGCATAGTCGGTAATTAGGAAAAAATTCTCGAGAAGATTATTTGATTATTGGTCTATGATAGAGCGTAATTTTAACATTTTCCCCGGGCGTGAATATTCCTAGTTCCACTTCTGTGTACACCTCAAACTTTAAAAACCACGCACTTGACCTAACCAAACGTACGTGTCTACCACGGTTTTCGGAACTGGTTGAAAAATGCGTTCGTGACGTAATAGTTGTGCCGTTCGGGGCGTGTTGCCTTTGACTTCGAGTACACCAGTTCGCTGTGCAACGCACCTGTTAGTGTCCCAGTCCGAGCCACTGCCCGTCGAACACTGATTAGTACCGTTACATGATGCCCACCTCTCACGTTTTTCTAGTCGAGCAAAACTGTTGCCGCAGAAAACCCGCCGCAAGTGGTGGTGGTGTTGACCAATAGTAGTAGTAATAATAATAGTGGTACGTACCTCTCTGTACACATCGCAGGCCTCGTCCACTTTTTCTTTCAAAGCTTTTATCTCGTCTTCGGTCGCGTACAACGCGAACGCGAGATTATTGTTCTCGTTCCTCACATGCTGCTGATAAAGTTTCGTGTACTTTCTAAACGAAAAGCCCATACAATAATATATTTTACATATATATATATATATATATTTATGTTACGGGCAAAGTAGAAAATCCGGGCACTGTGGGCAAAGTGAATTAAAATACATTGTGCTGCACACTTTTATATCAAATTGCATTTATACGTAACAATATCACTACAAAACTATAGTTAGATATTTTATTCGTACGCGATAACGCGACAGCAGCGACAATACGAAACGAACCGCAATCTTAATGATAAAATGATCACACGGTATTGTAGATAATATTTCATAATCGAATCGTTAAATTCCTATTCGATATTTTCTAATGATTATTGTCACGACAGCGATGTCACGTAGTCTGTCATTGTAGTGTAGTGCAATTGCGTGTAGAATTATTTTTTCTTTGGGTCTATGTTTCTAAGTATTTTTTTTCCTATTTTCTAACATAAAATGGAAAAAAATTTTAATGAGAAGTTTAAAAATTTACTAATAAACAAAAAATGCGAATGCTGTATTTTTAAATAAAGTAAAATACGTTGAGTTAATTTTAAAAGTGAATATGAATACATAATATGAAAACTAAAATAACAAAAAAAAGACTGCAGATGACTTCAAATTGATTAAAAATACGATGTTGTAAATATATCAGGGATTGAAAAGTTAGTAGTTCCAGTATCCGAAGGTAATTTAATTAAGTATTATGTTTACGACGAACAATTGTTTCAACTTCTTAATGAAAAACATATATCTGAGGAACATGAAAGTAGAAACCGTATGGAGTCAGAATTTAACTTGAAATATAAAAATATAATAAGGGAGACTATAACGATATTTTTAAATGTATGTGACCACTGTCAAAAAAAAAGCAGTATAATAAAAAAAAGTTTAGTTATAAAACCTATACTTTCACCAGAGTTGGACTCTCGCTGTTAAGTTGATTTAATATACATGATTACAAGTTTATAATGGTCTATCAAGATCACCTTACGAAGTTCGTAATTCTTAGATCGTTAACTCATAAACGGACTGAAGAAGTAGCCTACGTGTTAAGTGATATTTTTATAACATTTGGAACCTCGGCAATTTTGCAAAGTGACAATGGAAAGGAATTTACCAATAAAGTAATTATTGAGTTGTGTAGTATGTGGGAAGAACTTAAGATTGTCCACGGAAAGCCTAGACACTCAAAAAGTCAAGGGTCTGTTGAATGGGGCCAACCAAGATATTCATAACATGGTTAACCGATAATAATTCCAGAAAGTGGAGCGAAGGTTTTAAATTTGTTCAATTTATGAAGAATCGGAGTTTTCACTATGGTACAAAACGTTCGCCATACGAAGCTATGTTCAGAACATATGCTAAAGTTTTAGCTAAAAATTTAATTTCTAATTTAAAATCAGAGGAAGATTTATAAAAAGTTCTAGACTGTGGAGTTAATATCAAAAACATAAACGAGAAACACGAAAAAAGTGATGGAAGTGATAAGGACAGTGCAAAACAACTTTTTTCTGATGAAGATGAAAACGATCAAATAAAATTGAGAATAGAATCAATTTCTTCAAATCGATCAAATGCTGCTGAAAGTCTCAAAGTACAAGCTAGAAAAATGAAGAAATTGTCTGAAGAACGTTTTTTTCTAGGAAAATAAGGAGAAAAAGTTAAAATAAAAATTCCTGATGTGGATCGAGCAAGATGTGATCTTCGGTGTATTCTAGGAGTTATACTTTTTGGTAATTAATTTTAAAATAATTTTTATATTAATCATTTTTTTTTTTTTTTTGTGGTAGTAGTAGTAAAAGGTAATTTATATGAAATTGGACAAACGAGAGCAGACTACATCAACTCTACAGTCGGAACCAATTCACAATATGCAAAGAGGTGTTTGTCCAGACTGACGATATACCACCATTACAAATTTCATTAAGAGAAGTGGCAAAAAAATCTGATGTACGATCTGGGTACGATAGGTGTACTTGCAATACATTGTGTTAGACCAACCGGTGTAAACGTAAAAGATCTGGTCGTCTTTACAACTCAAAGTGCCTTAATAGTGGTGTATGCGGTAATAAATAACGCTAGCCCAACGTTATTGTTTAGTAATTATCAATTAAAATAGATAATCATTAAAATAGTTGTAATTTAATAATAAATAAATAAAATATTAAAGCTGTGCAAGTTAATGATATTTTCTGTAAGATGTTTTATTTAATTTTTTATATAATATTCAGTAATTAATATACTGTGCCCAAATTTAATTGGGTACTGTGTACAATGTTCGGGTAACGTTAATTTATTCCAACTTTGCCATTGAAAACCGGGCATTGTGCATAATGACCGATTTTCTACTTTGCCCGTAGCATATATATATATAGGTATATGATGCTGGATTTAGGGGTGGGGAAGTTGATATGCTTGCCCAAAGCGCTGTTGGTTAGGTAAGGGTGCTTTTAAGTTAATGAAAAATAAAAAAGTCATGAACATAACCCATACTTCCACCTTCGTAAGCAGAAGTAGCGCACTATAGCGGGGACTCCCCCGTCCACTCAGTAGGTAACCAATAGTGTGCTCAAGACATATTCCATTACGTACACAAAAGTAAAAGTTCTCGATCTCGATGATAAATTCTTATTTAAAATAGCGATGTAAAACTAATTTTCGATCGACTTGAACGCAATCTAAGGCGGTCTTACTCGGTGAGTTGTAAAAATTTGTTGTTCATCGCACATATATTGAGTTGGAGCTGTTGCATATGCCTGGACAGAGATTCGTAGTGCAATACGTTCTTCGCCTTGGTATAGGGGTTCGGAACCATTTCCGATATTTTGTTTTTGCTTTTCAAGTTTTTTATGAATGGTGCCATTACTTTGTTGTAACTGTCGCCGAACCGTGTCGGACAGGAACAAGTGTTATTCTGGTGATTGCACTGTTTCAAAAAGTCGTTACGATCAGTCGTTACGAACCAAATATTTATACAAAGTTACAGACGTTTTCGTGCGACTTTTAAAACGTTAGCCAACAATTTTCTAATTTCGTACTATGCCCGTTGGTGGTCATATAATTGATCATTATTTTCGCGCCATATGACCGCCGGCGAAAATAAAGTCAATTCTTCATTTTTGAACTATATAATTTTTCTCGTGAATTATTACTCGGAAATTCGTATAAATAAAGTTTAAAATATTTTGCAATACACCGTTATTACCAAGGTTCGGGATTTTAAGTGTTTCCTTATTTTTTGCATATGCTACAATGATAGTGTTAAAATTATCTCAAATATGAATTTTAAAAGTGCTTTTTTTAGCTTATTTCGATTGATTTCAAACAAATTGCTTTTTTTAGTTATTCAGATTATTTTTGTTTTTGTTTTTTTTCGTATCTTTGTTTAAAAATAACATATGTCACTGACAAAAACCTAGACTTTTTTACTCAATTTTCGATATTTTTTGTTTTTGTTCACGATAAAACTAGAATTAAAAATTTTAAATAATCGTTCTTCTTAGTATCATATTTGATGGTAATATAAACAATTCTTACGTAAAAAAAAAATGATTTAAAAAGAATAATGATTTTGAATTGTTAGAAAAAAATGTCAAATATATTTGATGATTATGGCATGAATAATACGACAATAAATTCCTAGCATAAATATTTAAAAATTAAAATTAAAATAAATTGTATTACATCTCCTGATTATTATATTACATTGAATAATAATGATAAATATGAATAATAATACTGATTATTATATTAAAATTATTTGCATCAGTCGTTTGTATACATGTAAATATAATATTATTTATATATATTTAATGAGATTACCTCGAAATTGTTTGAAAGCAAATCGGTCTGTTTCACCGACCACGGACTGATTCTGGACCCATCAAAATTCTTGTCCTCTTCGATTGCCAATTCTTCGGAGGACCTAGCCGGACAAATTTGTAAGTCCGAAAACTGCGGAAATACGTTTGTCCGACTTGTGCTTGTTGAATATTTCGGATACATTTCACCGTAATTATGATCGGGAAATTGCTGAATATTGAAATTACATTTTATAATTAACAACTATTACTGTTAACATATTTATAAGAGAAAAAATCTTTCAGAAATGACAAATGACATTAAAATATGATTGAAAACAAATAAATATATTATAATATAGGTAGGTAAGGAATACGTTTATACATATGCATACATCTATTAGAATAAGGTATTTTAAATCTGGCTGTAAATGTGCATAATTAATCTTTAATAATAACACAAATTTTACTTGACGTATTTTGAATACTTTTAACTTTTTAAGTATTTTTTTTTTTTTGCATATTCAATTATTTTTTGTTATTTAATACAGCACCTAATTTAATACATTTAATATATATTTCTGTTCTGATCATCCAGCAAATTAAGTTAAATTGATAAACATTATTCGATGACGAATAAAAAATGTAATAATAAAATGTATAAGTGTAAAAACTTACGTAGTATGCTCATTAATTGGAATAATAACAGTTATAAATATATAATTCAAAGTAGTGAACTTTTCTACAAAATTGGTGGTCCGCAGTACTAAAAAAGTTGGAAACCGCTGTTTTATGGAGGAGGGTCAAAAAAAAAGGCTTCGAGGGCCGTGGGTTGAACCAGGGTAAGTTAATGTGTCTAATTGTTACATCCACTACTTTTTCTTTCTCTCGAAATAATAACTTTAATAAAGAAATAAGAATAAGCATAAAATAGTTTACTCTTAAGAACTTAACACTGTTCATAGTTAGAAATAATTTACACATATAGGTACGTGCCAGTCGACAATATCCGATTGTCTGGTTCGACGAATTAAATTTTCTGGTTAATTTTTTTGTTTTCCAATAGTCGATTGAAGAACATAGATTTTTATCGATTATGAATAATATTAATTTTAATAAATTATTGCTATTATTACCTCATCACAGTTCACATAATTTCTATTATTATTCTATTATCAAAACTATTATGAATTTAATGTAGACAAGATTGGGCGAATAAAATAATTTTTTGAAAAAAAACTTAAAAATAAATTAAAATTAAAAAAATAAATCTATAATTTACTTAAGTTAATATCCATTATCGATCGACAAAAAATTGCAAAAAGATAAGTATAAAATAAGATATTCTGGCTTTATCTAGATAAAAGATAAAATATGATTTCCGCGATATCCAGATTACCTTAATAATCGCCGACGTGGTTTGTATAGTTATGCCTATATTGTGGCTTTTGTTAGCAGACCCACCACCTATGAACGGTAACTTAATGAATTGTCTTCTTTCCTTCTTGTTAACATTGCCTTTTGACAGTACACTCAATTTAGAATCCTGAAATTAATCAATGAACAGCTTAAAATATTATCAACAAAATTAATACCCGAACCATCCCAATCCTGATTTTCTCCGACAGGGTTAACATCATTTAATTCATTTAATGATCATTTAATTTCAAGGTCTTCAATTTAACATTATTTGTTTTTAAATTTTTACAAACCCTTCGAATTCTTGGTTTTATACATTGAATTACGATTACAATATTATTTATGATTGATTTTATTTCCACAAGTATATTAAGTAATCATTTATTAAACTAATGTACAATGCATATGTATATATGTTTATAGTTATTAAATTAATAATATACAATACATTATAAATGTAAGACCACGAACCAGTATATTGTTCCAGTATAACCGACTACAAAGTTGTACATACCCATTTAAAAATAGAACATCTTACTAAAAATATTAATTTGATTTAATGTTAATTTTAGCGATTAAAATAATCTAAATAAACAAGTAACTGTTTTAATTCATATCTATGTATACTCAAATTTCTTCATGTGTCTTTTTCTATAGGAATTTTTTTTCTAGTGTTTTATAAATAATACATATATATATATATATGTGTGTGTGTTTAAATGGGAATTTTTTGTATTTGTGTTCAACGTTTCTGCTAGATAAGTAAATATAGTTCCATTTGTTTGGCTATAATTCTCACTTTTTTTAAGTACACTAAGCGTCGAATCGGATTCATAAATCTTTCTTTTCGATGCGATTCTTTCCAATTTACTGCAGCATTCTAAAATTATAATAATATAAGATTGAAATAAAAGTTTATAATTAGCTTAGTGACAATATTAAGACCTGAATAAGTTTGGATGTTGATCATTTTCACAAGTTATGATATAGCTATATTTTATATAAACAGTTTGTTGTCGATAATTCACTATTATTATTTTCCTAGAATTTCAAATTTAATAAAAAATTACAATACTTTGTAAACAAGCAATATACAATAGTTGCTATAGATAATAATAACATACATACCTGTAATATACAAAAAAAATTCGACTAAAAGAGATTTTAAAACTTTGTTATTGTCTCTTTAAATAAATTATAGTGTGATTATTGAGATTGTTATGTTTTGTTGTTTAATATTATATTATTAGACAATTATTTTTAAAATTATTTTAAAAAGATTATACATATTATAAACTGAGCTAATCCAAAAAAATAGTATAACTCAATTTGAGATTGGTTCTATGCGCATGTGTTATAACATATATTATTATATATTGAATTATCAATAGACTATTGATACTATTTACCATAATGTTTTTAGACCAAATCCGGAGATCAGTTCCGTTTTACCGGGGAAGGAGGGGAAGGGGTTAACATTGAAAATAAACAATATTGTTATTTCATTAATAAAAGTTTACTTAGATCTATGAATAGAATGTCTACATAAGAGTTATTAGGTTAAATATGTTAAAATAATACAAATATGATATACAAAAATATGTGTTACATAATTTATATCAATTTATTGAAAAATATGAACAAAAATAGATATTACATATTGTACATTTATACAGAGTGAACACGAAAATCTGTCACTTGATATAACATTTTGTATCAATATAACCATGTTAAACGATTATCTTTGCAAAATCCGGACATTTTTCAAATCCGGACGTATGGTAACCCTAATTTTCATTAGTATTCTCTGAGACATTGAGAACAGAGTACACATTATCGTCGACATTACTGGGTTGTACGGTGAGTATCCTAAGCAACGTGAGTGCAGTTTATGCTTGCTTCATACGAATTGTTCGCTTCGTCGACGTCATCAAATCTGCATTACCACGAACGAAATTGGTTGTCAGTGTTTCCCAACCTTTTTTTACTCAACGCCTTTTTTTAGACTTTAATAATCTCATACCCCCTCCTAATCAATATTTTCAAAATATTAACATATTGTTTTTTTAATAAGCTATTTAATTAAAGAAAAATATTATTTAACATTTTAACGCTACAATTTAGTTAATTTTATATTTAAATACTTACTAATCTGTATATATGTCCCACATTAGAAATGGTGATAATTACTCAACGGCCAATGAATATTATGCTAATTTGCTTTGTGAGTTTATAGCAGCGGGATGTATATTTCCATTTAATTTTAAAGTTTATCGAAATGGTATCTTATACACGGAGTCCAGATCTAATGATTGTCCAGTAAAGCTTTTACGATTTGGACAAGATTTGCCCAATGGACATTTTGATGCTTATCTTCTTACTGCGACAGAAAACAATACTCAGAGTCGTATAGAAAAATTGGTCGATGAACGCGAACATTCACCTATTGCATCTTCAGTACACAGTAACATTTCTGCAAACATATCACTATCCCAATAAAGTGAAACAGATCAATCTATTTCGTCCTGTTGAAAACGAAGGGCTAGATTTACTAATTACACAAGAAAAAAACAAATAAAAAAAGCACAAAAAAAATATAGACAGAATCAAACTGAATCTAGGTATAAGGAAAATACTACTATGCGTCTATGGAAAAACAAGTTGCATTCAGGTATGGCATATGATCGAGATATTGCATATAGAACTGACGTCTGTGTAGCTTTGGGTTCTATGACCTATAAGTGTCAGTGGTGCAACGCTTTGAAGTGGAAAGATGAGACACTTGGTATGTGTTGTAGCGCTGGAAAAGTACAACTTGAGAGGTTAAAACAACTACCTGAACCTCTCTACAGTTTGGTTAACACTCTGCACCCAGATCATGTGCAATTCATGAACAATATTCGAAAATATAATGCCTGTTTTCAGATGACGTCATTTGGTGGTAAACAGGTAACAGCAGACGGTTTCTTACCGACTTTTAAAGTTAAAGGACAGGTCTACCATTTAATTGGAAGTATATTACCTGAACCCGGACAGGGCGCACAGTACCTTCAAATCTATTTTGTCGGTGAAGACGAACGAGAAGTAAATATTCGGTGTTCTAAATATCCTAACTTAAAACCCAATTTAATCAAACAACTGCAGGATATGCTACATCAAGTGAACCCATATATAAAAGATCTAAAAAGTGCCATCGATAAAATACCTCCTTCAGAGTCATTTAAAGTTGTAATACATGCAGATAAAAAACCACCAGAAGAACATAGAGGCAGGTATAATGCACCAACGGCAAATGAAGTTGCTTTAGTGTTAGTAGATCAGCAGTTTGATCGAAGAGACATCATCCTCGAAAACCGAAGTAACTGACTTCACCGTATCAGTGAGATACATCGAGCATACGACGCACTGCAGTATCCTTTAATGTTTTGTTGAGGGGGGATGATGGGTATGCAATCAATATACCACAACGCGATCCAAAAACCAAGTTACCGCTTAAAAAAACTGTCTCTGCATCAAGTTTTTACTCATATAGAATAATGGTCAGAGAAGGGGAAGACAACTCTTTAGTTAATTATCGTTCTCTTTTCAGTCAATATTTGGTAGATGAATACGCCAAAATTGAAACTGAAAGACTAAATTACATCAAAAACAACCAAGCCAAATTGCGTGCAGATAGTTATATTCATTTAAAAGATGCGATTGGACGACGAGACATAGAAGCTAATCAGTTAGGCCAAATGGTTATACTCCCATCAACTTTTACTGGTGGGCCAAGGTACATGCACGAAAGAACACAAGATGGTATGACCTACGTTAGACATTATGGTCGTCCTGACCTTTTTATTACTTTTACATGTAATCCTCGCTAGGACGAGATAAAAGAGCTCTTACTTCCCGTTCAAAGATCATATGATCGAAATGATATAATTGCAAGAGTGTTTCGGTTAAAAGTCAAAAAGACCATAAACTTATTGACAAAAGGTAAAATATTCGGAGAAGTGAGATGCTATATGTATTCAACAGAATGGCAAAAGAGAGGTCTACCACATATTCATATTCTTTTATGGCTTCAGCATCACATTAGTCTGGATCAAATCGACAATGTTATTTGTGCTGAAATACCCGATCCCATACGTAACCCTCAGCTTCACGAAATCATTAAATGTAATAGGATTCATGGCCCTTGTGGCTGTTTTAATCGAAATTCACCATGTATGAAAGATAACACGTGCAGTAAACATTACCCCAAGAATCTCATTAAGGAAACTCAAACTGGTGATGACGGTTATCCGAAGTACAAGAGACGTTCAACCGATGACGGTGGATTTTCCATCAATATCAAAGGCGTAGATATAGATAATCGTTGGATAGTTCCTTATAATCCAGTACTGTTAAGAACATGTAACGCTCACGTCAATGTGGAATATTGCAGTTCGGTGAAGTCCATAAAATATGTGTGCAAATATGTAAATAAGGGCTCGGATCAGGCTTCATTTGCCTTAGAAAATGAGAAAGACGAAATAAAAACTTACGAAAGTGGACGATATATAAGTTCATCAGAAGCCGTGGGGCGAATCCTTGAATTTCCAATTCATGAGCGTTTCCCTACCGTTGTTCACCTTGCTGTCCATTTAGAAAATGGACAAAGGGTTTACTTTAATGAACAAAACCTACATGACAAAGTGAATAGTCCTCCTACAACTACACTTCTCTCATTTTTTGATTTGTGTAAAGTGGATGACTTTGCAAAAAATTTGCTTTACCCAGAAGTACCTGCATATTACGTTTGGGACAAAAAAAAGTTCCAAAGAAGGAATAGAGGAGTAAACGTTGTTGGCTGGCCTGATATCAAAAGAGAGCACGCTCTGGGTAGAGTTTATACGGTTCATCCAAACAATACAGAATGTTATCACCTTCGTATGCTTCTCCATGAAATCCGGGGCCCGATTTCGTTTGTAGCGTTGAAAACTGTAAATGGTCAAGTATATCCCACTTTTAAATCCACGTGTAAGGCTCTAGGGTTACTTGAAGATGATGAAAATTTGTACGCAGCACTAGAAGAGGCAGCACTTTGCCAATCTCCGCATATGATACGGGATCTATTTACGATTATATTAGTGTTCTGCCAAGTAACAGATCCCTTATATCTTTGGGACAAATTCAAAGAATACCTATCTGAAGATTTTAAAATACGATTAGAACGACAGGATTCCGTGGATGCAGAACACTTAGCGGACGTAGCGTTAAACAAATGCTTATCGGTAATAGAAGATTCCGTGTTAGCATTAGGTGATCAGCCACTTAAAGAATATGGCTTACCTCAGCCAAGCTAATCTGAACAATTTGATAATAGAGAGTATCTCAAGAAAACAAGTTATGACTTAGTAGTCTTAGAAGACGTCGTAAGAAACAATGAAGAATCTCTGAATGACGAACAAAAGTTTGCTTACAATCAAATTATTACAAGTGTTAATAATAATGAGGGTCGAATATACTTTTTAGATGCTCCAGGAGGAACTGGAAAAACTTTCTTAATCAATTTGATTTTAGCGAAAGTTAGAAGTACTCGCGACATTGCCTTAGCTGTAGCATCTTCTGGAATCGCAGCAACACTGCTCGAGGGTGATCGAACGGCCCATGCTACCTTCAAATTACCACTCAATCTAATAACTTCGGCCACTCCCTTTTGTAATATATCAAAACAAAGTAATTTTGCGGAAGTTTTAAAAGATACAAAATTAATAGTGTGGGACGAAATTACAATGGCGCATAAGGGTGGTGTTGAGGCTTTAAATAGATCTCTAAAGGATATAAGGGAAAATAAAAGGTTAATGGATGGTGTAACGGTTTTACTGGCTAGAGACTTTAGGCAGACTCTACCAGTAGTACCAAAAGGGACCAGAACTGATGAAGTCAAGTCATGTCTTAAAAGATCTACTTTATGGCCTAAGATTAATATACTCAAACTGTCAAAAAATATGAGGGTACACTTGGGAGAGGAAAAGTTTGCTAGTGGATTTTCAGATCTTTTACTTGAAATTGGCAATGGTGATTATCCATCGTTTGATGAAATGATAACTATCCCAGAAAATTTGTGTACAGTTGTAACTACGGTTCAGGATTTAATATCAAAAATTTATCCAGATATTGCTCATATTCATGATAAACCTATGGAATGGTTGTGTGAACGTGCTATACTTACTCCAAAAAATGACCAAGCGGCGGCTATCAATGATACACTGCTGATGTCTTTTGAAGGGGAAGAAAAAGTATATACTTCTATAGATACGATGGTCAACATGGACGATGCAACTAATTATCCGGTTGAATTTTTAAATTCATTGAAACCACCGGGCATGCCATATCATAGGCTTATTCTGCGTGTGGGCACACCTATTATGTTGTCGCGAAATTTGAAACCGCCTAAACTGTGCAATGGGACTAGGCTTTAAGTCAAAGCTTTATATCACAATATAGTAGAAGCCACAATTTTAACAGGAGTGCAAAAGGGGAAACTGTGTTTGTACCACGAATCCCTTTAATTCCGAATGATCATCCGTTCGAATTTTAACGATTACAGTTTCCCCTGAAAGTCTATTTTGCAATCACTATAAACAAGTCTCAAGGCCAAACTCTTAAATTTGCAGGAATAGATTTGCGAGAAAACTGTTTTTCGCATGGGCAGTTCTACGTAGCTTGCTCACGCGTAAGCTCATCCAGTAGCTTGTTGATTTTGTCGCCTACTAATAGATCAGTGAAAAACTTTATAAAATTTATCATGAACAAAGCTTCTGCCACCAAAAACTATAACTTATCGAATAGGTTATAATAATAATCATTATCTTAAAAACTAAATTAATATGTATAAAATATTATTTCAAAAATCTTAATTAATTTAAATTTCAATAGATTTAACAAAATTTAATCTTGGCAGGTTACATACATTTATATACTTAAACCCGGCAACGACGGGTAATTCAGCTAGTAAATTATATTATTTGATTTTGAAATTTCTAATATAAAATAATAACACAAAAAATACTTATGTGACTAATGACTGCCCTGCGATTGATGGCTTCCCGCCAACGAAATTATATCTGGGTCAATAGAGTCAGCATTAGTCTTAAATCTTCTCCTTCACATATTTCTAATTTGTTTCTAGATTTAGTCAAAAGTTGTAAAGTCTTTTTCGATCAGGTATGTCGACGGATACGATAAGTCCCATAAGACAATAATAACGTCAAACTATTATTGCCACCTACCTAATACATAGAATTTAAAGTTCAATAAGATAATTATTTAGATGTTATATAAGTGTTTATAAATATTATACTTACATAATTCTATATTTTACATTTGGTATTTTAAATTAGTTTTTATTCTACACAGTGTTACATTTCATCTCAATTAGTTATAAACAATACAAATGTAAATTATAGATGAGAACTCCCTTAGCACTCCCTCAGAAAAACTCCCTCTTCAAAATAATAAATGCCCACAAGGGGTCGTAGCGCTTACGTTAGGAATCACTGGGTTTTGTTGTCGTTCGTCAGAATACCGAAAACGGCGACTACTACATCTTAGTTGATTTGAAAATAAATTTCAAATGTTTCCTTAATTGATAGTATCAAGATGCAATTTGTCTAGCAGATACGACACTGGAAGGATTCCATCCTAACTTAAAACGGTCTTTTAATTCCTGTATTACAGTAATGATGTGATGGTGCCTTTTGTGGCGAAGGTGTTAAATAAAAGGAGAGAGTTGTTTTAAAGAAACAGCACTTTATTATAATTAAAATGAACTATTGACTATTTAAAATAGAATAAAGAAATAATGCAATAACAAAATGGAAAATAATGAAATACTAAATTAATAAAATATTTAAAGATGCTCTGTAATGGTCATTACTTGACTGCCCGAGCATTGTGACAAACAACCCAGCGTTTCCACCAAGTCGTGGGATTTGCTGATCAAGCAAATGCCGATGGCTCACTGGTTATGTAGGCCACTTTGTTACAAGAAAAAAAAAATATCCATTGATACTGTCGTATAATGTCGTATAAACGACATGTAGTCTACAACATATCCACAGTCATTAAATTCTTCGAAAAACTGTGGTTGATGCAAATACTTTGGAACAACACCCAAACTGAACATATCAATTTTAGATTTTATAAATTGTTTATATTCACAAATAATATCTTTTTTTACTAAAATGTTATATATATTACAAATTGAATAAATAGCATCAATTGGAATGTTTGAATCACTCATCATACTTGAAACATATTTTGGTGTTAGTAAAAATAAATATTTAGCGAGATTGACATATTTATCATTAAATCATTTTTAGTTCTACTAAAATTATGTCTACAATTTTGAAATATATATTGATTTTGTAAGATTGAATTGGATCATTGACTACCTGGTCCCGGGAAATTTCATCATGTTGACGTGGAACTCTTCTATGACGCCGAACTGAACCATTTAATGCTGTTAATTCATTACTGTAATTGTTTTTTCAGCATATAATTTTGTTGAGTTGTACATTTTTTGAAATTCTGCATCTATTCTCAGTGCACTAATATTTTTCTCATCATTTTTTAACACATGCATCGCCATTATAATATCAATGTCATGAGCTTGAAGTGCTCTGCTAACGGGTTCAATGAAATAAAATATTTTTTTTAAAAATATTAGCTGTTAATAGAAACTCGAAGGATTTTAAGTATCCAATTAAGCCATTACAGTCTGCATCAGTTTTAAAATCAACTTGTGCTTCTTGATTCTTAATTTCATCAAATGTATCTAAAATAGCTTCAAGAGCATCCAGTACTGTTCTTAGCGAAAATGACTGTGACATATACCATGTGGTCTCAACTTTTTTTATGGAGCGAACTCTGATTTTAGGATAAATTAATTTTTGTTTTTCGCGATATACTGAAACTCTTTTTTTGCTACAACTTATAAAACCAAACAATTCTAGGTTACCAAATAAGTTAACTGCAACTAAGCATGATCCAATACATGATGTAACAATTAAATCGAGTCTGTGAGCATGACACAAAATAAATGTAGCTTGGGGACAAATCCCTTTTATTTTAGTTTGTAATGCGTTATATCTTCTAGACATACTAGTAACTCCGTCAAATGAATTTCCCACAAGATATGACATCCAATTGAAACTATGTTTATCCATAAACTCAGAAAATAAATCAAACAATGCTAGTTCAATTGTAATAGCAAAATCTCTTATAGCAATTATCCTTTCATTTATTTTACCCAATTCATCAACGTACCGTATAATAAAAGAAACTTGTTCTGTTCTAGAAATATCAAATGTTGAATCAATACTGATACTAAAAAATGGAGCAATATGTATTTCAGACCGTATAAAATTAATAATTTTTTGAGCAATAGCATTTATCAATGTATTTTGAAGATCTCAACTAATGAATAACAATTATTTTCTAAATTTAATTTGAATATTGTTAATGTGCATAGAAATAGCTGGTGAATGTTTTGCAAGTAGAATAAGTAAATCTTTAAAATTACCTTTTATAATATTTGTCCACTGTTCTCTATGTCCTCTGAAGGCAAGAGAATGTTGTCCAAGAAATTTAATTACATCTATAAGTTGGGTTACTATTTCTCTATTTAAAGACACTTATTTTTTCTTTTCTTCAACTAATGATGGAATTAAACTGGTCCTTCGACCGTCGTTTCGGCCCAAACACCATACTTTTTGTGGATGTTTACCAAACAGCATACAATGTAAACAATAAATTTTATTTTCACTTAGAGGATATGAAAGCCAATCTCTTTGAACCATTGTACCATCTGGTAATTTTTTATAAAACCAGTTTTCATGAAAATATCTAGGATAAAATTAGTACATGTTCATTAATATTTTACACTTAAAGTAGTATGAAGTCCTTATTTTATTACTTTTAATTCATATTAATTATTATAGTTATAAATTAAATTATAATTCACAATTTAATAACTACTTAGTTGCATAAAATTCTTTAATTATTTACTATAATTAAATAATAAATATATAATTATAATATTACACAAATATAAATATGTACACTAATTTAATATTTAAATTGCTTTATTATTTTGAATATATTCTGAATTATTATATCCTTTAAAAATAATTTTTTATTTAAATTTTAACTTATTTATTCTTTTTGTCCTTGGGGAAATGATCATTGGGCATATCTTTACTATACGGCTGACATGAACCCCAACCCAATACTACATTTATCAATTCTGAGTTAAATTTAATAACCTTAATTTTAGCTGGGTCATATTTCAGTTTTAAATTGGAAATTGATTCATTCATTGTATCGTTAATTGTTAAAACTGAAAATAAAATAAAAATAACAATTAACTAATAATATTTATAATGGTAATAAATTATAAAATTAATTTTTGTCAATCTTTGATTAACTTAAAACAAATCATCCTCATTACAACCAATTTGGTACACATTTTAAAGAAATAAAACTAAATAAAAATTACCAGATTTTAAAGTTTGAAGAGATTCTTCATTAGTGGCAACATCTGGGTACTCTGTGTGATCTGGGTTTGCTAAAAAATAATATAATACATATAATTAATTAAATTATCTGAATAGGTTATAGCAAATTAGCAAAAAATAGTGGTATTTATCTGTACTTAGTAATGAAAGGTATTCTTGATCAACATCAATTTTAATACTAGTTTGGTTCACTACGGTCATTTGATCATTATTTAGTATTACTGAAAATAAAATCAAATGTTATTTTGTAATATTAATTAGATATGATGGTTATAAACTATAATAGTTGTTAATTTTTAATTTCAATATTTTAAAATTTAAAAGTAAATATAATATATATTATTTTTTATTCATTAAAACGTAATATTATGTTAATTTCAACCAATTTGGAGCACTTAAGAAACTAAAACTAAATAAAAATTACCATATTTTAAATTTTGAAAAGATTTTTCATCTGTAATAACATAGTGACTTGGGTACTCTTGGTAAATAATAGTTAATAACAATACATTTAAATACCTGAATTTTCCGTATATTTTAAGATATATGAAGCAAATAATTTCGAAATGTCACAATTTCTGTCTCCAGAGCGTTTCATTTTTTTTATTTTTATATTTTTCTATATGCCTTTACCAGTTAATTGTATTTAATTTGTCTCTTTTTCTACCACAAGTAGAACAGACATTTAATAACTCTGTATGAGAGTTCATGATAGCTAGTATTAAGTAAACAACGAGTAAAGAAATATATTTTTTGAAAATAAGTAAAATTAAACCTCTTAATTTTACACACAATAAAATTCATAACTCCTTACTCAACACTAAATAAGAATGGTCAAATTATTTAGCATTCACATTTACAATTACGAACCATGATGTTGTGTATAAAACTATAAAACCAAATTTCCAACAAACAATTAGAGTTGGTTTGGTGGTATTTCTAATATTAGAATCAAAAGTCGAGTTGCATTCAACAATTTATCAACCATTAGCGAAAAGCAGTTCGTGTGAAATTATTATGAAAGTTTATGAAACACATGGACAGGGGCGGACTGGACCAAAGAACGAAGAGGCGAACGCCCCCTGGGCTGGTATGATTGCTTGCCTTCACAGGTATATTGGGCCCATGTGTACAACTGTGTAATGATTAATTTATCAGCAAATTGTGCAATTTTCAAAACTGTAGCTTAGTTTGCTCAATGCGACGTAGAGTAACACCAATACACCATAGAACAACAATTATCTGTGCTGTTGCAGTGATGGCTGATAGAGTAATATGAAACAGTGGCGACGCCAAATATTTTACTTCATGAGTCTTATTAGGATTTTGCCCAACCACCTACCCACCTAAAAAGAAATTTAACGGTAGCTTGTAAAAAAAAGCTATTCGTTTAAGACTTACTAAACTATACAATGGTAACATAGACGATAATCATTATTTAAAATATTTTTTTTGGGTTGCCATTTTTGGAGCCTGAAAACATCATTAACTGTTTTACTGACGATTTTTTAGCAATACAGCCTGCTGAAAATGACCCAATTGTGAAATTTACAGACTACATTTTTGAAAACTATATTTCTCCAGACGCTATGTTCCCCCCCAAATATTTGGGCACAATTTACTGCTAGCTGTAACCGTACTACTAACAGCTGTGAAAGTTTTCATTCAAAACTAAATATGTCGTTCTACACTAGCCATCCTATCATTTATAACTTCATTGATGTGTTACTAGAAGTTCAGTCTAAAACATACATAAAATTCAAAAGTAAAAGTGTAAGAACAAAAAAAAATGTATGAAAAAGAAGCTATCATTAGAGAACAGATGACAAAACTCGAGCTAAAAGAAATAGATAATTTTGAATTAGTTAAACCGTTAAGTTTTAAGTTTTTGCCAAACAGTAGAATATTTATACTTTTATTTTTATTTATTTGTATTTTTATTTATATTTATTTTTATTAATTTTATTTTTATTTTTATTTATATTAATTATTTATATTTATCATTATATATTATATTCTAGAAACGCAAAATATTATTATATTTATTAGCTTATTTTTCACACATTTTCTTTTTATTATTATTATTTTAACCAAAACAATAGCTAAAAAATGAAATTACTATACGGTATTGTTAATTTATGAATATTTTTTTTTTATTTATATTCTTGAAATGACAAATATTAATAATATACGACAATACTAGAAAATACGTAGTGTTAATACATTTATATTGTGATGTTTATATAGATGTACTATGTATAGTATATATTATATATGTAGTATATAAATTATTGTATGGGCCGCAACTCGTACGTTATTTAGGGTTTGGCCGCAACTCACCAACACCGGCGTAAACAATATTACCGTATAATATGACATGTTATGATCGACAACGGCACGAGCTCTCTAATATTATGAACAGCGAAAATTACCTCTACTGTATGCACGTCGACTATCGCAAGCCCCGTCAATTCCTCCGTCGTACGCGGGTTAAGAAATGTTTTTATAATCTCCTTGATAGTTTCTTCTTTTTTTTTCCTTCCTTTTTTACTCTTGCCGTTTTGACGTCTTGCTCCACCGTCGACGTGTGTGCCGTCATCGCGTTCTTTATGCTATCTATGGCTCAGTATCGTTTATTTTTTTCATTTAATTGTTCATTTATTCCTTCCACCCATTGCCAGTGTCCGTTCACATTCTTTTTGTACCTTAATCCTTTGTTTGTCATTCAAACATTTTGCTATTTCTGCACTCGTTCGTTTGACCGATAAAATTCTTTGCGGTCGGCCCGCGCCTAAACGCGTCTTCGTTATTAACAAATAGTTATTACGTAATATTAACCAATTTTCGCGTAAACGCGTCATGTTGAATTCATGTTTTTTCATCGAATAACTGTCAAATATTAATCATAACAATGAGCTCTACGGATTCCAATTCTTTTGTTGGTAAGTCGAGTCGAGTGTGTATATTATTATGTACATTTAAATCGATGCACTGGTCTGATGAACTTTCACTATACATCCATACAATTTTATTAGATGCCGGATGAGTGAAAAACACATTATCAGCTTGGTGTGAATAAATTTAAATACTTAGATTCTGATTAAATGGAGATTCTCGGATAATTATACCTCCGATAATCTTGAAGTGTAAATTTAATGAATTGCAGTTAGGAAATAATGAAATAAATTTTGCTAACAATTTAAGCGAAATACATTTTTAAACAATTTGGAAAAGTATGAATAATAATAATGAGTACAACAATTTAATATTCAATAAAAATCTTTTATAATTGAGTACACCAATATTATTTTTAACACAATTGTTATTATTGTTAAAAATGTATGATTATTATTGTATTACTTGAAACATAGTCTTTCTATAGAATATAATCAGTGGAGGCTTGGGTACATTTTTTTTTGTCGGCTGAAATATAAAAGGGTCCCTCACCAATGAGGCTAATAGCAAATGGTAATGGGACTTTTTACAGTTTTACATTTTGAAAGATAACTAGCTAATTGTTTTTAAGTTCTAAAAACCTCTTCCAAAAAAATGTATATGTACATAACTATTTTTGTAAGTATCTTATTCTATTTAAGGTTCCATTTAAACTTTTACCCCTTGGGTATAATGATAAAAATAAATAACAAAATATCTACAATGTTACCTATTCAATATTAGTGTTGATGCATATATTATAAAATAATATAAATAGATATTTGTATTATTCTCATTATCGCTACATAACTGTTGCGTGAAATCTACTTACTAGATCCTTACTTATTATAATAAGGACCTGGTTTAGTATTTTATTAATATTAATTAGTGTGTGCTAAGCCATGTTTCTTCAGTGTCTTCCACCGTATTGTTAAATAAAGTAATTTTTTTTACTTTAAATCTTGTATAAAATTAATATACTGCACTATATAAATTTATGAATATTGTAAGACAAATATTTAAATATGTAATATATAAAATTGTATTCAATGTTATAATAAATAATAAGTAATAGTAATTAATATAGTTAAATAGTAAAGTAATTTTTGTAATTCTGAAGACGAATTCGCATAACATTTTATTATTTCTTTTATATTAGGAATTATGTCACTTTCAACATTAATTAATAGAAGAGGCTCTAATAGTTTTTGATTCAATAATGACCTCATTCTTGTTTTAAAATTTTTTTTTATTTTAAAGACGACCCAGTATAAATTAGTAAATGCATATGTATGATCATAAGTGAGTTCAATATCTGGATGGACTAAATTTTAATGATACCAACGACCCATGGGGGATTTGCCCCCATACCCCCAATATTGATTGTCAACACTAAAATTTATATTTATATTGATTAGAAGTCCTTATGACCTAGTCGTATACTATACGTATATGTAACTATAATCGTTAATAGATTCTTTCTAGGTAAAATGTTGTCACTTTCTACTTACAGACTAGCTACCTAAATAAATATGAATAAGAATGATATATATATAATCAATAAATTATACAGTTCATACCTATTAAATGTTTATTATAAAGCCTAGTTAAATTAACATTATTTTTCTATTTTTTCAGCAACTTTATTTACAATTTCATTTTTTGACTAATTTGTTGGTTACATATCTCTATATTTAAAATAGATAAATTTTTAAATCAATCTTGGGTCATGGAAAATCTAAGCCAATGTTTTATTGGTCTCATTGAAGAGAACAATCTTTCACAGGTAGCTGAACTTATAGGAATAGATGAAGCCACTTGTAAAAGTTTAAAAAGGTTTGGAAATATTTGTTTTTTGGCAATTTCTTTGACATCATTTATATTGAAATCTTTTTTTTTTACTACTTAAAACATAAAATGCCACTCTCATTTCTGTGTCTAAGCTACTCTTTGAAATGTGTAGTAATTCCTATAATTATAACTATTATAATTAAATAATTAGTTATCATTAATCTTTCATTATCATTAATATTTTGTTATTTATACCTGTAAATTTATTGGGGTAAAAAAATTTTAATGCTTGCAAAATATTCTTATTTTTAAATAATTTGTCAATCATTAAACGAAAAATTTGTAATCTATACAGCTATAGGATTATTTTCTGCAATTACATTATTCAATAGTTTCGTTCTCCTGAAATTTTTTTTATCTTGCGTTTTCGTTGTTCAAGTAATTTAGTTTCATAATATTATTAATATTAATAATATTAATAATTAATATACAGTGGCGTAGCCAGGGGGGGCTAAGGGGCTATAGCCCCTCCCATGAGCCGTGTTTATATGTATAGTGTATCTATGTACTAAACTAGTATACTACTCGTACTATTTTTATTTAAGTATTTTAAACCTTTGGTATTAACTAAATTTTGACGATTAACGAATTATAGGTGTTTATCTTTGGCGTAGATATTACAGATTACTAATACTTCTAGTTTCTACCATGATTATCACTATCTTTTTGATGATTATCATGCAAGGTTGTGGCGAGTCACTATCAATTTATAATCGATGAAAATTTTATAAAAGCTGTTAAAATATATGCCCAAGATCTCCATGATGATACCTCATCTACAATCAGAACTGAGCTTTTCATATGGAGGCAACAATGGAGTCAAAATACTATTCCAAAACCGAATTCTGCTGTTGATTCACTCTCTCATTGCACCAATCTTCAACCTAACATTAAAATACTTTTACAATTATTCGCCACGTTACCAATTACCTCTTCCACTCCGGAAAGAACGTTTTCTGCACTTAATCGCTTAGAAAATTATTTAAGAAGCACCACAAACAGTCAACAAACAGACTGAATGGGTTAGCTATGGCTAACATAAATAAAAAAGAGCAATTCGATGAAAGTGAAATAATACTGTCAGTTGTCAGAGTGGAGCAAGTGACTGAACACTGAAACCAAAATTATTATTATTATTATAAATTATATATTAATAAATATTTTTAAAACTATACTAAAATGCTTCAATTACATTTAAAAGTTTGGTGGTAGATGGTGGGGGGGGGCTTAAGGGTAAATTTTCATATTCTCTCTTACCTTACTTATCCAAAAAAGTGAATAGCTCCTCCCATTTAAAAATCCTGGCTACGCCACTGTTAATATATATATATATATATATAAATATTATAATATTATTATACTTTTCATAATATTAGTATTTTATCGCACGGTATTTATTTTGAAAACACAATGCGACTACCTACCACGATTTAAGATAATATCTACAAAGAAAGAGGCTCAATCGGATATGGCGGCAAGGGCCCAGTTAGCCGAGGGCCAAGTCGGCGATCGCCGACTTGACGACCTGACCAGGCCGCCACTGAATATAATTATAAATATATAAATTATATAATTATAAACGGGTTTTGTTCAAATACTATATTTTTTTAATTTTCAGAAGAAGCATTTAATTGGGATAAATATCTTGAAGTGAAAATCGCAAAACCTGTACCTCGGAATTTTTTCCATCACGTAAGTAATATTTAAAATCATGATTTTAGAGTGTACCTATATGAGTTATTTGATACTTTATTTTTTTTAAATGTTACTCAAACTCAATTAATTAAAATAATTTAAGTGAGAGTGGTGAACTCCTAAAGCATTTTGAGATTCTAAATAAAACAAGGAATGTATTTATTTTTTTTATACATATGTTTTTAAATGTAAGTGAAAACATACAACTTAATTTTATTTATATCATGACGTCTAAAATATAAAATATAGCCCATGAATTTCTCAAAAACACATCGCCGCGGATACCTAATACAGAATTAATTGGTAAAGACGTGTTAATTGTAAACATTATTCACCATCAATACTAATATTTTCAAATATATTTTAAACGAACGATTAGTCTTATTACTGATAACGCAATCGGTATTTGTACATGAAATACGTAAAAACTAAAAAATAATATTAGTAACACGTAGAAATTATAATAAATAATAACATACCTCAGTAATTATAAAACTAAGAACTGCGAATTTTTACGTTATTAGTATCTACATGTAGTGATGTAAAAAAAATTTTTTTTTTCGTTCTACACTCTTTTATACTTTGTATAAAACTGTATTAAACTGATATAATTTATTTTTGTATTCTACCATAATATTGCATATATTATACACATTTTATTTGGTACAAAATGTAATATCCTTTATTAAAAAATATCCGAATTTGATATTACATACGAAACTTAAACTTGATTACTTATCCGTTTCCGGTTTAAAAATTGTATGACATAAACAAAAATTGGAAAAATTAAAATACAAATCAGTAAGAATAACCAATAAGAAATTACTAATGAAGTACCTAATGAATACCAATTTCAATAAATATAAATTATAATACGTTTGCTTTTTCATTTATATAGTTTTGTACTTAAATATAAATATGGTTTTAGATATACTTCATACAATATTTATATCTATACAGCATGTATAATGCTATATTTATTACCTATATAATTATACTATACAAATTCCTATTATTCTTTGCTACCCATCTATAATTTTATTAAATACTAGCTGACCCGAAAAACGTTGTTTTGTCATATAAATTATTTCTAGAAAATATTTTGCTAGAAAAAAATAACTAATTTAATGTAAGCGTGTAGGTTAGGTTAGGTTAGGTATATAAGTGGAAGAGGTATGGAGTGCTGTGAACGGTGACGAAATATAAAAATGAAAAACATCAAACATAATTTACAGTTTCAGTAGCATCGCAAACTGTATCAATAGATTTGTATGACACCAAGTCTTTTGGTAACAAATGTTGTATCTTGAGATTCAATTCTTTGACGTCCACATTTTTTGCTGCTAAAATTGCTCTTTCTGCCAGCCACTCATGATTTGTATATTGACTGTGTACATTGAGAAATATCTGGTCAATGAGAGCATCTTAAGAATCAATGATTGTGCAAAATCGGTCGGTAATTGTAAGCATCCCGTTTCATCTGTAGTAACTTTCCCATCACCGATATCCAGTGACGTAGTTACGGGGAGGGTGTAAGGGGTTTCCACCCCCCCCACAGATTTTTTTTTTTAATGATATTTGATTATTATTTATTAATATTATATATATTATAGTAAAATATTTTGATTTTACTATGATTAGGTATATATTAAAAATTGAATAACAAAATAATTGTCATTAATACGGGACATAATAACACTATTTTAAATGTAATATTATTATATTTAAGATATATTATTTAAGATATACTACGAACACTTAAAAACTTACTCTTAAACACCCCTCCCCCCTCAGAAAAGAATTGTATCTACGCTACTGCCGATATCTAACAATTGTTTTGAGAACCTTCCGCACGCAGCTTTTTTTGATCAAATCTCAAGTATCGTAATCGTTTGCTCTCTATCTTTACATACATGTCGACCATAAACTGTTGACAAAGCTCACGGCATCGTATAATAACGTTGCCCTGATCGCATCTAATCATCAATCGATGTGCATAATAATCCTTCGAACTAACATTCTTGATTGTTTTGGTACCTGTTACGGGATCTTATTGTTTAATATTTATGCAATACCCGTCATTTAATACCAAAAATAAAATGAATAGTTTTTAAATAGTTTTTAATAGTTTTTTAATAGTATCATTCAGGGCCGAATTTAGGGGAGGGCTGAGTGGGCTGCAGCCCCGGGGCCCCCACAAATTCGGGGCCCTCACAATTTTATATTTAAATGAGGATACAGAAAAAATATTTTATTTATATTTACTCATATTTAATTAAATAATATTGAACTTTATTTGAACATTTCAAAAATTTAATTTTACTAACTAATAATAGATGTATTCACGTTTATTAACAATGAACGATGTCTAAAAATCTAGATAAGATAGGTTTTTATGCCGTTCGTGTGTATCTTCGATTGTAAGAATATTAGTAAATGTGTTTCTAAATATACACATGTGGGTCTGGAATTATACACCAAAATGTTGTAGTAAACACGATGGTTAACAACAATAATTTAGCGTCAGAAATATGAGATTAGTTTTTAGAATTATCATAAAATACACATTACAGACTATCCGTCTATAAATAAATTATCGTTATTTGTTCGTTGCACTTATTTTGGGTTGCCATACGTCCCGGAAAACCGGGATTGTCACCGATTTTGGACTTCATGTCCCGGTGTCCCGAAAAATGTTTTCAGGATGTCTATATGTCCCGGCTTAGATGTTTTTAGAGGAAATGTTGAATTGATTAATTTTTAATTTCGACGATTTTATCTCAAAGTACATTTTTAATCATAATCAATTAACAATATATTATAAAAACATAATATGTAATTTGCACATATAAATATTTAATATATTTTATTTTACAAAAATATTTTTATATATTATATTGCTTGCCATTAGTGGTCCTCTCAATATATTAAAAGTAATAAAAAATATATTTTTCAATAATGCGTTGGTTAATATTAGTTGTGTATACCTACAATAGTTACAGACTCCAGTAGTCTAGTTGTTTCTTATATTATAAGTTATTAACCAATGAATAGTGTTATAATATAAAAATGGAAAGAGATCGTTATAAATTAAAGCGATTTTATATGAGTGGTGCAGGTAAACGTAAATTGGCAAAAGAAAAAGATAAAAAAAATACAAAAATAATTTCAAAAACTAGGGGAATAACAGTTTTTCATAACACAACCTAAAACAACATCTTCTTCTGAGGTTAGTTCAAAGTTTAGCAATTACTATATAAAGAATAAATATTAATTTTAATAATATATATTTTATATTTAACCCTTTCAGTCCCCATGTACATTGTAATGTACATACATTTTTATATTTGATAGTAAATTAATGATAAGAGCTACACACTTGTTTAAAATGTCTATGAACTGGTAATCATTCGGATTCAGTGGCGTCAAAAACGTATGTCAAATGGAATAAATATCCCAGAAATTGTTTAGGTGGTGGGTGGGTGGTTAGATTTAATTAGTGCTAGATATATTATTGTACGGTAAAATATTCCATAATATTGTGTAATTACGAGATGTTTAGTAAATACTCGTAGCTCACAGGAATACAATAGTTGCTATTTATGATTTTTTGGTGAGTAGGTAGGTACCCATAATTAGGGTTTACCCCGGTGATATGTAAAAGTTCGACGCCACTGTTCGGATCAGGATAAAATATAATATTTCGAATAAATGTTACTACCAATATAAAATACACCTAGAAAAGGGAAAAAATTTGATAATCACATCGCAATTATTTTTCCATATGTTTTTTTCCCGCCTAAATGATAACATAAAATCATACGTATTTTTTTTTTTATCAATTGCCGACATAGTTATTAAGACATTCTCACCGGTGTCATTATCTTACATGCAAAATTACAGAGCGTATATGAGGTGGTATGCATTAGTGGTGGGAATTATCGTTCCTTTCGTGGAATCGTTCCAATCGGTACAGTTACAATAAAGTACCGATTTCAAAATACTCGTTACATCGGTACAATCGGTACATTCTTTCTTTAGTTACACTTGTACTCACATTCGTATAGTTCCTCGCGGAACGATAAAAATACATATATTCAAATGTTTACTCATTCTTGAAATGGATATTTAATATTTATGAACGAATATGCTTCGTAGCTCGTAGGTCTATAATACAACACTATTTTACTATATTCGGGAAAAATTAACTTTAAATAATTAAATTTGTATCAGAAACACTATGTTTTTGTAAACATTGTTTACAATATTATGAATCATTATATTAATATACATTTGAAATGCTTAATCAAAAATTATCATCGTTTTAATATTTTTCCAATCGCTACAATTATATTAAATAAACTATAGATTCAAAAAAAACAAACCACATAAATAATAAACATATTTATTTTCAGCAAAAATAATTATAAAAATACAAAAAAAAATCACTTCACTTTACCCTAGAAAAAAAAAATAATAACAATAAAATAAATAAACTCAAACTTCTAAAATTAACTTAGTTACTTGCCTAAGCCTAAAATGGATAAAAATTAAAAATTAAATAATAGTATTTAATAATTACTGTTTAAAAATATCAACATTTCCGTGTTTTTTGTTGACAATCTATTACGTCTTTCGGAAATGGTGTAGCCAGCTTTTGAAAAGGCCCTTTCACTTGGAACTGATGTTGATGGTACACACAAACGCAATAACATCAAATCAAATAAATTTGGATAGATTTTTTTTCTGTCATTCCACCATTTAAGAGGATCTAATTTTCGGTCCAGTATAGGTTCATTCAAATATCTATCCAACTCCATAATAGCCTCAGATGTTGGTGTGTTGACTGAAGTTGAAGTAGACACCTAAAAATCATAAACTTATTTTATAAATCACTTAAATATCATAATATCAATGATGTATACATTATACATCATATCAATGTATAATGTATGTACCTGAGAGTCAAACTGTTGCCAAATTTCAAAAATTTCGTTTCCACGATCGGTCGGTATGGTTTTCTTATTTTCTTCATTTTCTACTGGACTTTGATTTAAACGAATAATTGTTGCAACTTTTTGTACTATCTTTTCGTATGTTTTTTGATATATATACTGATTATTAAATGCTTTTTTTTTAAACCGTGGGTCTAAAATAGTTGCTTCTGTTAAAACAGGCTGGTTTTCGATATTTTCAAATTTAGCATTGGCTTTTATTACCATTTTAGAAAGCATCAAATGTATAGCATTTGGTAAATTTGGTTCTTTTTCTTTATTTTTTATATGTAAATGTAATGCTTTTATTAAAATTAACACTTTTGAAATCGAAATGCCTTTTTCACTACTTAGTTCGATAGTAACTTCTTTAAACGGTTTAAATATCGCACAGTACTCATAAGAGGTTCTTTATTATCGATACACCGTTGAAACATGTCATACGTGGAGTTCCACCGCGTACAAACGTCTTGAATTAACTTTAATTCCGGGTATCCCATTTGTTTTTGTACATTTTTAAGTTTTAAATTTGCTTTTGTACTTCGTTTAAAATATTCAACGATGTTTTTTACTTTTTTGTGAACGTTTTTTATTTCACCTAGTCCAGATTGTGCAATTAGATTTAATGTGTGCGCTAAACAGGGAATATGGCGCCAATTTTGATTTATGACGATTGCTGATGTTATATTTGCAGCATTGTCACTCACAGCAACTTTTACTTTTTCTGTTATATTCCAGTCTTTAAAACAATTATTTAAAAATAATGACAAATTTACAGCTGTGTGAGATTCCACCACGTTAAAACATCCAAGTAAAAATGTTTTTAAAACACACTCTTCTAGATCGATAAAATGTACAGTGACAGCAATAAAACTATCATTATTTATGGAAGTCCAGCCATCAGTTGTAAATGAAATATATTTGGCATTTAATAAATTATTTCTAACTTTTTCTCTTGTTTTCTCATACAACTGTGGTAAAATAGATTTCGAAACAGTTTTCCTCGATGGTAACTGATACCTAGGATTTAATAAATATATGAATTTTTTAAATTCAACATTTTCAACTAAACTGAAAGGTTGGAATTTTTTTGAAATCATAACTGTTCATCAATTGTTTTTTGTTTTGAAACAGAAAGTGGTTTATTGTTAATAAAATACGAATCTACACTTTTTTGTATTGGACGAGATTTATTTATGACATTAATTGCATTGATTGATATAGAAGGTTGGTTTTGATCATTATTTGTTTCGGGTGTATTTTGCTTACTTGGTTCATCAACATTTTGTTCAATCATTTCATTAATACGCGGATGTTTTCTACTTTCATATTAAATTATGTGTTTTCGTTTTAAGTGTTTACTTAAGTTTGTAGTTGATCCGCCTTTATAAGACACCGAATTTGAACAATACGAACATTTAGCCATTCCACTATTAATAACCGAATAATGATTCCATACATCGCTTTTTTTTCTGTCCATTATTATAATATTTACGAAAATATGAATAAAAATTAATAGGTCTAAACAATCTTAACAGTAAACACGCACGTCTGATATACGAGGCGTGTCCAGAAAGTAAGTGTACTAAGGCTCTCACGGCCACAGGGAATATTTTTTTACTATGTTGGCTACACTGCCGTAAAGATTTACTTCTAAACTTTAAAACAAGACCAGAACGAGTTCAGTACGTTGAAAACTGTGGTCGCACGAATTTTTCTTGTTAAACATGTCGATCGAGTCTGCCGCCAAGTGCGAAATCCGCGCCGTTATCCGTTATCTTGTTGCGAAGGAAAAATCTCCACATGAAATTTTTAATGAGGTACGAACCGTTTATGGTGAAGGCAATATGAATCGTACCAGTGTATACAAGTGGTGTAGGGAGTTTAAAAACGGCCGTACGAATGTACATGACAATCTGAGGAGCGGGAGACCGTCGATTTTGACTGACGACATTGTGAAAAAAGTCGAGTATGCGGTCCGTGACGATCGCAGATTGACTCTAGATGAACTTTCTGCAATGTTTCCACAACTGTCAAGGTCTCTGCTCCACGAAACAATTACAGAAACACTTGGATTTCATAAACTGTGCGCAAGATGGGTCCCAAAACAGCTTACTGAACAACACATGTTGAATCGAGTGCAAGCCTCCAGAGAGTTTTTGGAACGCTATGAACTGGACGGTGATAATTTTCTCAAGTCCATTGTTACTGGAGATGAAACTTGGATTGCACACTATACACCTGAAACCAAGAGACAGTCCGAACAGTGGCGTCACACCACTTCACCCTCAACCAAAAAGTTCAAAACCACCATTTCAGCCAAAAAAATCATGACATCAGTGTTTTGGGACCACAAAGGCATAATTTTGATTGAATATTTACCTCAGGGGGAGACCATAAACGCAGCAAGGTATTGTGAGACCCTAAAAAAATTGAGGAGAGCTATTCAAAATAAAAGGAGGGGTCTGTTAACGAGCGGAGTCTGCCTACTGCACGACAACGCTAGACTCCACACGGCCAATGTCACGAAGCAATTGTTGGACTCATTTGGATGTTTTGAATCACCCCCCGTATTCCCCCGACCTGGCGCCTTCAGATTACCATTTGTTCACTTCCCTAAAGAAACACATGGGTGGAAAAAAATTTTCAACTGATGAGGAAGTGAAGGAGATGGTCGACATGTGGACAAAGGAGGTGGCGGCAGAGTTCTACGAGGCAGGCATAAAAAAATTAATCTACCGTCTCACAACCTGCATTGAAAGAAATGGTGACTATGTAGAAAAATAGCACACAAATATATTAATGTAACCACGTTATTTTTTTTTTTTTTATAAATTTTTTTAAAGCCTACAAAAATTGAGTACACTTACTTTCTGGACATGCCTCGTATAGTGCCTACCACTGCACAGCAATACTGCATAATGCCTATGATTATTATACAGCTTACATAAAAATAATTCTACAACCGTGTATACAATAATCTAAAAATAATTTTACTTCAAATTTTATTTAAACTTCTTAATAAAAATAAAAACACGATAAAATTATTATCGTACTCGTATGATTTTGCATTATATCTATAATTATAGCATTCACTGTCCACCTCCACCACCACCCTCTTCCTACGATTATCAACAAATATCAACACAACTACACAACAACAGCAGCAGGTAAAGTAAATAGTAAACCGAGACGACATAGACGTATAATATATTATCGTGACAACTCGTTACTATTCGACCACCGTCGGTAATCGGTATTCGGTACCCGGACAGTGACGGTAAGGGACCATTTTGTAGTTGGAATCTTTGTACCGAATGTACCGATGGAACGAACGTGGAACGATATATGTACTCGTTACTACTCGTTCCACCAATGTAATCGTTACATTGTACCGAATACACTAGTAACTACCCACTACTAGTATGCATGTACATTAGGACTCACCGGCTCAGCGAACGGCATGCTATGCTTTTATTTGTTTGTCGTTCCGCGTTCAATGCGTTACGGTCCGTACAGTTTTATACTATTTGAATGTTTTGTGTGTCATTGTATTGTAATTATTTACTGACCATCATATTTTTAAAATGAGTAAGCTCACTCGCGCAGAGCTTATTGATTTATTGGATGGAAATATCTCTAACTAAGTGATATAGGAAGTGATACAATTAGTGTTGGAGAGATAGAAGAGCTATTGGCTAATTTTGATGAGGGTGAAAATTTTGAATGACTACAACAAAATTGAAAATTTAAATGACATCTCAGAAGTAGTTGTCCCCGTATAATTTAACATTGAAAAAAAATATGAAATGGCTATACAGAAACATTTTAGGCACTTTAAGGTAAATTTAAATGAAAACTAATAAATATGATTATAAATATTATTTAATAAGTAAAAAAATATATTTTCTTGTTTATGTACAATGCACTCCGCCCAGGGGCCACCACATACCTAAATCCGTCTCTGGTATCATTTAATAATTCATTTTCAATTGCGCAGTTATCGACTATGTCAAAAATTATTAAATTAAACTACGATTTATTAAACAATAGCACTTAGGAGTATAACAAATAGATAAAACCTATTCAGAGACTTACCAAATGTATATAGAAAATTTCATTAAAATCGGTTAAGCCGTTTTAGAGGAATATAGTAACAAACACTGTGACTCACTCTCCATGTTGATTCATTTTTTGGTGTTTGCCGAAGGCCCCATTTTAACGATTAATTATGTCATATGGACAATTTTATAGGCTAAAGCTTGCTATAGCTTTTTTCAATTCGAAAAAACATTCCGGAACTCAAAAAATCAATCATCAAAAAAATTAAAAAAAAAAAATTGAAAAGAAAAATGTAAAAAAAAAGGGTTTTTCCAAATTTTTTTTTTCGTAAAAACCCTTTCCTAGCAATTACGAACAATTAAAAAAAAAATTTGAGCTAAATCAGCCCAGCCGTTCTCAATTGATGAATTGTTATACATTTTTTTCTTCATTTTTATATATATATAGATTATCTATATGAGTTGTGAACTGAAAATTAAAATTTTATGTTTTACGTTTTCATTTGTTTACCATTGAGATTTTCTAAAATACGTGGTTTTATATCATTCTAAAAACGTTCCTACAATTTCTGAACTAAATAATATATATCTTTAAGTAAAAAATTGTTCAACAGATTTGTGAGAGTGAGCTAAATGGAATCGAATCAGGATCAGTTGTTGAAGTTGAAAATGAAAATGGATATTGGCCCGCCAGCGTACGCCCGTCTGAGGGTATATTAGTCAAGTATAACTATTCAAATTTATTTGTAAATTATTATTAACGTGAATAACAACCTATTTTAGTTTGCATTATTTTGGTGACGTACACGGTACGCACGAATTTTTGTTGGAATTGAATTCATCGCGTATACATCCATTAAACTGGGGAAACGAAAATAATAAAAAGCTTGTACCACCTAATAAATATTTACAAAAAAATCTAGAAGAAATCGAAAAAAAAATTAATAATTGTAAACACGGCGTATCCAACCATTTACTGCAAATGGTAACTACATTATTTTAAATAAATTCGTATTTTAAGAAAATAAAATACGGTTAATAATAAAATATGTAAAAATTATTTCAATTTTAATTGAATTACAACTATTCCAGAGAAGCGCTCCAATTTATAATGTATTTAAGACCAACATTTTGATCGAAGTTCAGGATAAAGAATACCCTTATCGTGTTTGGATTTCAATAGTATTACACATTTTTATTTTAATAATCATAAAATTAATTATAGCTATTCTGATAACTACAAATTTTAATTTATTAGAATGAACTAGACTTAAATATTAATTTTTATTCTTTTAGATACTTAAGAATGTTGGCGGACGATTGTTGATAAAAATGCTTGGAGAATCAAGTCCAGAAAAAAAACCATTTTGGTTATTTTACTTGAATGAACGAGTTTTTCCACTTGGATGGGCAGATCAAAAAGGTGAATATAATTGATATCATTAAGTTCTAAATGTTCAAAGGCAGAAAGTATTCATTAGTTTAGAGTTAGGTCAGTTGTATAATTTCGAGTAACCAATTGAATTGTATGTACAGACAGACAATTATTTCAATACGAATTTTTTCTTCGACTTATTAAAAAATAAAAATTATCAAAACTTATTAAGTTTTAATGATTATTTTATACATTATACTTTTATTAATCGTTCGAATTTAAATTTTAGGGCTTCCGTGGAGAGTTATGAATTCCAATGTCGACACTGAAGGTGGGATTGATTGTAATGTTGTAACGGACGTAATAAAAGTAATTGCATAATATAATGCGTAATATATATCTAGTAATAAGAATTTAATTGCCTTACATCAATAGCGTATATCGAAATATTTTCTTGAACATAATAGATAGTATCAGTTTTTGAGTACATCGATAAATAGTAATGTTAATGTAATAAAATAATGATACTTATGTTAGTTTTATCATTAGTCAAATCACTATTCGGTATCACTACTCGAATAAATTGAAACACCAGTTAGGTTTAAATTCAAAGGAAGTAATTAATGTTGTATTTGTGGTTAATAATTTCGTGGTTTCATAATACATACACTTATAATATTGAATTATTATTATTTTTTTTTTTTACAGCCCAAGGTCCCAGCATATCATAATTATAAAGTCGGAGAAATGTTGGAAGTGTTGAATCCTTTTTCGTTGATGGTATTCCACGTTGGCAAAATTATTAAGATCTACGATAACCGATATTTCAAAGTAGAACTAAATAATGAACGCGATGTGGATAAACGTATCACTTTTCTAGCTACCAAGGAAAACCCTTATTTATTTAATGCTGGTTGTTAACATTTAAACATTTATTATTAAATATTCTAAACGGGACTAATTTAACGTGCGGTCTATGATACAAAAAAATTTTTAACAGTTGATTGACCTGTAAGCTGCAATTAATATTTGATTTGGTCATTTCTAAGTTAATTATGTCGGATTTTTATTTACGCATTTGAGTTGAGAAAATTACATGATTCGCGCAATTTAAAACATATTCTTGCAATAAAACAATTATACTTAATGTGTTTCTGTAAGTTCTTAGGAAAAAGTGACTTTAAACTTACCAATATACGAGTATATACCACTAGTAGCAGATTTGTATGTACGTAAATCTCAATAAAAACATAAAATATATTCTCTAAAATAAATCGTTAAGTTTATGTTACTTATTCTAGTCACGTTTATATATTACATGGGACCATTAATTCATTAATTAAAGTTATATTAAATAAATCTAGATTTTACCCTAGAAGTTTAATATATAATGATTTTAATATTAAAATCTTACATTTTTTATATAAACTTCAAACTTTAATATACATGAATAAAATTTATTATTAAAGATTATCCACCATCGCACTTTTATAATACAATATTAAGAAATAATAATAATCTAAATAATCCGTTTAATAGCTCTAATTTTGGTAATCAAATTCTAATTATTAGATATTTTCTATTTGTATTTGTATTTTTATCTTAACCTTAATGAGCTTGAACTATACATAATATTCTATCAAAAATTATTTTCTCTTTTTTATTAATTTAATAATATGTCTCTAATCGTATTGCATGTTAGTTAATTTTTATGAGCTAATTATTAATAATAATTAAAACAGTTTTATACGATATAATATTTCAATTTATGTACCTCCACCCATTTGTTTTAAAGAATTGTATTGCTTAAAATATGAGTTTATAACTGAATATTTATAATTTAAAATATCTAAACCGTATAATTTATTGTTGAAGTAAAACATTATTATTATTATGTGTTGTTAATTACATTCTTCTTCTTTCATGTCGTTCAGATCTCGGTCAACCAAAAAGTAATGACTGCTGCCGCTTTGTCATTTGCCAGGTTTAAGTCATTTTTATTACAAGTTTTATTACAAATAGTTTTATTAGAGGGCATTATAGTAGATGGCCCATTATCTGTGTTTTACCACATTTGCAGTTGGTAGTGTCTTCTTCTAATATGTTCCATTTCTTAAGTGTAGTTTTGCATCGTCCAATTCCTGTTTTTAACCGATTCTTTTATTTCTCCCATTTCCTGTTTTTTTCCTTTAGGTAATTCTTCTTTTAATTCCCTTGAACTGTTTTGTTCTCTCTTTCCATCTGTTGATTCTTTCTTTTTCTGGTGAATTTTTTATTGGTTGGATCATACTAAGGAAACTTTTTCTAGATTTAAGTCGTGGTAGCAGTGGATTTTTTCCATAAAGTGGGTGTCGGGGGTTGTTTAGTTGTTTATGTCGTTCTATCTTTGATGCGATGTCTCTCCTGATATCTGGTGGGGCTATACCTGATAGTGCTTGTATTTCCTCAACCGGTGTTGGTTCAAGACATCCTGAAATTATTCTGCAGGTCTCGTTCAGTGCAATGTCGACCTTTTTCACGTGACATGATCTGGTCCATACAGGGGCAGCATATTCGGATGTTGAGTAGCATAATGTTAGTGCTGATGTTCTCACAGTGTTTGGGTCTGCTCCCCTCGATGTTCCTGTGAGCTTCCTAATCAGGTTGTTTCTCGCGTGTGTTTTTTGTCTTGCATTTCCACAGTGATGTTTGAAAGATAAAGTTCGATCTAGTGTGATGCCAAGGTATTTTGGGTATCCGGTATTTTCAATCTCGACTCTTTCCAATGTTTCTCTTATTGTTCGTTTTGCTTCTTTGTTTCTTAGATGAAAAGTGCATATTTAAGTTTTGTTAGGGTTTGGTTTTAATCAGTTATCTTTGTAATAATTTTACATTTCCTCTAGTGCATTGCTAAGTGTTATTTCTATATTTTCGAACGAGTGATGCTGAGCAGTAAACGCTAAATTGTCAGCGTATAGAAGCGTTGGGTTTCTAATGGGTTAGGTTGGTCTTTGGTATACACGTTGAACAGCAAAGGTGCTAATACACTATCTTTCTCTAGTCCATTTTTTTGAGTCCAGCAGCTTTTCTTTCCTTGTAGCTCCACAAAATACCTTCTGTTTCTAATCATTTCAGCGATAAAGGTCGTTAGATTGTAGTCACTTTTTATATCGTACATTTTTTTGAAAAGGATTCTATGGTTGATCGTGTCGTATGCTGAGGTCAGATCTTTAAAAACTGCGCCAGTCACTAGTTTCATCTCATATCCATTTTCAATGTTTTGCGTCAGTTTTAGTATTTGTCCAGTACATGACTTACCTCCTCTAAAGCCAGCTTGTTCATTTATAAGTGATTTGTCCACTATGTCGGTTATTCTGTTGAATATTAGTTATTCTAACAGCTTATATGTATAACATAAGAGGAAGATCGGATGGAAATTATTTGCCTCCATAGATTGCTTACCCGGTTTTATTATTGCTATTACTTGGCTTTTTCTTCATATTGCGTGTAATTTGATGTTCTTTATGCAGTTTTTGTTCATTTCTGATAGCCATATTTTAGTTTGTTGTTCGAAATTCTTTATTTGCTCGGTTCTGATTTCATCAAGGCCTAGTGTCTTTTTTTTCTTTTATCTATGCCATTGCCACATCGAGCTCTTCTAAAGTGAATGGAGTTTGTAATATGTTGATTTCATTTGCTGGTTCTTTTATTATTTTTGGTTTCATTTTTTTTTAATGTCCGTATTTTTTTAATTTTCCATTTTTTAGGAGTTGGTGGGAAATTTCATTTGGTGTGACGTTTATATATGATTCTGTAACTTTTGGGTCATTTCCCAAATTTCTCTACATTCTCCATGCTTTTGAGCTATTTTTAGTCATGTTTATTTCGCTTATTAGTAATCTCCATTTTTCTCGTCTTGCTTCTGATAATTTTCCCGTCAAGAATTCTCCGGTGATGATTGTTTCTTCAGAAAAAGGATCATTGTTATATTGTCTAATGTAATCTTCTAGTAGTTCCTTACTTTCTTTTTCTATCCCCGGGATGTACTGCGTTCTGCAACCTTTTGGTATATTTTGTTTTTAAATGTTTTTTACTAGATTTGTGAATTAGCCGTAATTTTCAGATATTGGGATGATGTTGATTCCATTGTCCAGTTGTGTCTTAAAACTTTCCCAGTTAACTTTTTTGAAATTATAGCGTCTTATCATCGGTACATTTTCTGGGTGTATAATAGCATTTATTTGACATGTTATTGATTTGTGCTGGGGATTTGTTATTGGTTTTTCAACTTTCTTTTTGCACTATTTTTTGATATTACAACTCACAAAGATGATATCCAGGTAAACCCTCTTCTCCATCTGCCACTGTTGAACGATGATGAGAGCTTGGTATCGTGTATTAATGTTAAATCGTTTGCCTCTGCCTATTTTTTCTACTTCTTCACATCTTCATTTGTTTCGTTGTAGCCCCATACTATTATGACTATTAAAATCGCCAATTGTAATTTTTATTCTTTGGTTTTCGAAATTTGTTGGCTTTGTAAATTTAAATGGGACATTTGGTGGCTTATATATTGATGTGACGGTACAATTTGTGAGTTCTATTGTGTGAATTTCTATGTCATTGATTTCTGTGCGGCTTGTTGAGAGGATCTTTAAGTTATCTCTTACAAATATCAAACTCCCATATTTCTCATGTGGTCTCTCTATTATCAACTTCATATCCCTCTGATGGATGTTATTCTTGTCTCTGTGTGTTTCTTGCACGCATATCATGCATTATAACATCGCATGCGTTTTTTTTTCCATAAATCTTGTAAGATGTTGCTTTTAATGTTTGAAAATCCTTCAATGTTTATTGAATTCGTTATAAGAGCTGGTCTTGATAGGACCGTTTAAAATTCTTTGGCATAAATGACATTTGTATGGCAGTTATAGTCGGATATTATTTACTCAGGCTGAGATCCGTCCGGTGGTGGTAAGATTGGTTAGTCGGTTGGTAGATTACATGTTAAACTGGTTTCATTATCATGCCATTATATGTAAATTTAATTAAATGCTTTATATTTCAGGTTGGGCAAAAAAACATAATTTCCTTTTAAAACCCCCATTCCATATGGAAACATCAAACATATTTTGTTGGTCAGAATATGGCCCAATAGAAGAGAATTTAAAATTAGCTTTCATTGATACTACACTTAAAAAAGATATCGACCATAGTTATATTGATATGAAACTTGAAGCGGTTGATCCTGTTGAACCTAATTGTATTCGTATAGCAACTATAAAAGGTTTCGCTGATCACTGGATGTTTTTGTCTTTTGATCGTTCAACCAGGTAACGGAAAATTAAAAACATTTCTTTTAATTTTTTTTTTTAATTACTGTCTCATCGTTTTCATTGATTTAAGTACTCAAGAATTTCTTCACGTGCGTTCAGTTTATTCAGACGAAGTTTTTCCGGTCGGTTGGTGCGACAAACATAACTATCCCTTGACCACTCCAAAATGTCCTTATGTTGATTATGATTATAATGACAATTGTTATTACGCTTCAGACGTTGAAATCGATTTTAAGGCGCCGGACAAAGAATGTTTGATAAAATATCCCAATTATTTTAAAGGGGAATTTTTTTATCATTATAGCAAATGTTATCGTTTGAATAGTAATCAACAATCTAAAGAAAAATTAGAAATGTTCATAAAAAATTTTATTTCGAATCTTAATTGTAGTCGAAGTGCTCCAGTTGTTTCGTTTACAGTAAATGATAGAAAAAATTCACTTAAATTAGATATAAATGCACATCACATAATAGCAGCAGAAAAAGACATTATGAAACGGAAAAATAAAATATTCAAAAACAACACCAAAATACTAAATATGAGTGAACGCAATATGTGTGTTTACTTCAACAAAAGCTGTTATTCCGGGGTTTGTATAAAAAAGAAAAGAATTGCAAATTTACCACGACGTATTGGGCCTGGTCCTGTGCCTAAGGTTTTACAAGATGTGATTACTACGTTTGTTAGCTTAAATTACAATCCAATAATTGCACTGAAGAAAATCAAAAACATCCAAAAAGAATTATTTGATGGACCTGGAGGAGTCGAATTGTTTGTTACCACTCAGTGAGTATTGTTTTTTGTTAACCAATTGTGATTAAGGTTCAAAATAGTAGAAGTAGGAGAAGCCGTTAGAAATTCATTTTATTTCAGCGAAACACTAAAAAATTCTGATCATTCGGAAAATCTCTGTTTTCCTGAGTCCGTTATGATGGCTCAAAAATATTGTTCGTCTCTTTGCAATTTATTTGGTATATGCGAATATTTCATGACTACGAAAAACAAACAATGTTCTTATGGATGTAGTATAGAAGAAACTTCGAGTGAGTATAATAGCAATAAAGTAATAATGTAATATAATATAATAATGCAATTAATATTATTGTAATACTCGTATAATAATATTAATAATATTAACAAAATGCATGTAAATACAATATCATAAATTATTTATATTTATGCATATTTATTACCTACTTTACATGTATTTCATATTATAATCCATTGATAACCATCCAATAATTCTCTTGTAAACCGGTCAATTCGGTTGATCATTAGTAGGGTTCGGGACTTCTTGCATTTGCATGTTTTTTTGTAGTGGTCATAATCTATTCTAAGTGAGCTATACACTTGTTTTATGAAATAACAAAATTAAATACTAAGTTTGAATTTGCATACATTTGCATATTTCGTCATATTTTAAGAAAAGTACATATTTAAGCAACTTTTAGCATATTCGGGCATATTTCACATTTTTATATTTTTATAAACGTAAAATTGTCGGGAAAAATCATAATTAGATGATCGTAGTCTGTCATATCCATTGAACTATATGATAACTGGAATGCTTACTAGCCATATGAACAATGTAAATAAAACCGAGCGACCGTGATAAACAAAGATAACAAATATATTAGGTAATGTTTTCTCTCTCTTTGTATATTATTCTATTCAACAATTGAATGTAAATCAAAAATCTTATTAATTTAATCGGTTTTAATTTAATATTGTATTTTATAATTTGTTTAATACCTAATCAATTATATTTACGTACCTTAGGTTTCATATAATAAAATGGTTAACTATTGTAGTGCCTATAATTGCACAAATTTAAGTGATATTAATAAAGGATTAATTTTCCATAAGTTCGTACTTAAATTATTTTAGAATATAATACCTATTTATTATTTTCTATTAAGTTTTTTCATTGATTTTACTTAAAACTTCAATTCTTAGTTTTTTTAATTAAAATACCTAATTATATATTAATACTAATATTAATACTAATACATTATTATATAATATTAATACATTATTATATATTATACAAATTAAATTATTTTAAAATTGTAATTTTGTATTGATTTAAATATTAAAATAAATGTACGTGTGCACCTATGCAGACTGCTTTTATATTGAATAATAATCCAATATCTACCAACAGCAAACATAATTTTATCCTGTTAAATCTAAAAACCTTTATAAAAAATATATATTTATAGTGATGTTTAATATATTTAATATGAGGGAAACATCTATTCTCTCCAATATAAATGCCACTAACGAATGTCTGTAATTATTAATAATTTTTAGTTTTTTGGTTCAGAAAATTATTTCTATCACTGACACTACATACATTCATTAGTACTTGATACGTGGTAGTTTAAGCCTTCAAGCTTAAAATAATTACTTGATAACCAGTTTTGTTTTCAAACACATATTGCAACAGATTTACGGTTTTAAATACCTTAAAAATGTTGTTAAATCATTTTTAATTGAAAGCAAAACGATTTTTAAATATATTTTCCTATATAGCAGTACATGTTAAACAAAGAAGGAAACACCTACATACTCCTACAGGCTTATCTTCATATTATCATGAAACAAATATAAATTCAAACTTTCCAAAGTAATCAGTTATTAGCCGGGTATGAATTGTACAATGAAATGAAATCAGTACGTGTTCGTTTGTTAATCATATCATCACGCTTACATTCTTCTTATTAAATGTACCAATTTTTTTTTTTTTTTTTTACAATCAATTTGTATTTAAAAATGTCCAAAATAAATGGTAAAATTAATCAATATACATCGGAATTCGGAAAAAATATTTTTTCTACGGATGGAATTATTTTATTTTGTAAAGTATGTGAAACGTAGGTAGGTAGGTAGGTGTTGATTTATTGTCTTACAACATTTAAAAACAGAAAAACATAAATTAGGAGTGAAGCGCCAACAATATCGGATTAATAGTACCTCACAACAATCACAGCAGTTAGTATTTACTTCAATGCATTTAAAAAAAAGCATGTTTAACCATGACTTGTGCGAAGCATTGTTATCCGCCAATATCCCATTAAATTAATTAAGCAACTCTAGTTTCAGAAATTTTCTAACAAAATATACAGGAAAAGAAGTACCACGTTAGTCCACTCTGCGTAAAGGTTACGTTGATGAAGTTTATAAAAATACATTAAACAAAATTCGTAATTACGTTGATGGGAAAAAAATGTGGGTTAGTATTTATGAGACGACTGATGTAACCGGTAGATATGTTGCAAATGTTATTGTAGGTACATTGGAAGAAAATAATTACGGTAAACAATTTCTGTTACACGCAGAAGAAATGGAAAAAGCTAATCATACGATGATTTTTAAATTATTTGATAAATCAATGAATATTCTGTAGCCGGAAGGAGTAAGACACGATGATATGCTATTGTTTTTGTCCGACGCTGTACCTTATATGGTAAAGTCCGGAGATGCAATAAAAAATTTATATTCAAAAATTATTCATGTGACATGTTTGGCTCATGCCTTTCATAGAATGAATAATAATAAATAATAATAATAAAAACGTATAAATAACCCTAAAATCGATAAAATTATTGCAAATACAAAGAAAGTATTTCGTAAAGCTCCGTCTCGCATTCAAGTTTTTAAAAATATGGCTCCAACATTAACACTCCCACCGGAACCAATTTTAACGAGATGGGGTACATGGATTAAAGCTTCTCTCTATTATTGTGAACATTTTGAATTAATACAGTCAATTTTAAACTCTTTCGATGAAAATGATGCGGTCTCTATTAAAATGGCACAAAAATATATTGGACAAAAAACATTAAAAATCAATTAGTGTTTATTAAATCAAATTTTGTATTTTTGCCTAACACAATAACGAGTCTTGAAAAGCATGAATTATCACTTGCTAGCTCTATTTCATTAGTAGAGGATGCAAAGTTAAGACTAACCTAAATACACGGTGAACACGGAATGTCGATAAAAACAAAAATTGAAAATGTGTTAAAAAAAAAATAAAGGCTATCAATTGTTGATAAAAATTTCAAACATTTTGTCGGGGAATGAAGAAAATTTTTACGGATTACCTGAAGATATGAAGATTAACGATTTAATATATTTTAAGTACGCGCCGATCTTTTCCGTGGACGTTAAACGATCTCTCTCTATATACAAAAATATGCTGACCGATAATCGACGTGCATTCAAATTTGAGAACATAAGAAAATGTCTTACCACACAATGCAATAATTTTAACGGTAAAATTATGAAAAAACTTATTAAAAATAATAATACCTATATAAATATTTTTTTTGTTTTATGTTACAGATGAACATAAAGACGATACAGACGGAGATGAGTAACCTGTGTAAAATTTTTTTTTTTTATTGAATACCTACCTACCTTTTAAATTTTATATATATAATATACCTTATGCGTTTTTTAAAAACAAAATAAAAAATTAGGTGCATATTTTAAAGCATATTTTGTCGATTTTGACTGCATATTTCGATAATTTTAAGTGCAAGAAGTCCCGAACCCTAATCATTAGTTTTTAACCATTTGTCATTTATTTTTACAATAAAAATGACAAACAAATTATTATATTTTTTTTATGATTATAACGTCCTCACACTAAGAACATTACTTTAAAACATTTAAAAAAAAGCTTGGGGGGATTTGACCTACACAACCTCCTTGTATATGCAACTGCTTATGCTGCAAATTGCTTTACAGATAATTTTTTTTCTTTCGATTCAAAAAATATTTGTATTTTTTTCTTTATCCACATATCAATGGCATAAATTAAGTCAATATTCTATCACAACTGTAAGCAGTTTATCTACCACGCGATGGTCAGCAAGAGAAGACGCTTGCCACAGTTTAAAAAAAAACTGGAGTTCTATAAAACAAGTATTAGGAGAACTAATAGATGATGATGATGAAAAACTATTTGTACGGTCTGAAGCCAGAGATTTAACTAGACAAATAAACAAATTAAAAACAGCATACATGACTTTTTTTGTAGTGATATTTTACATATATTTAAACTAGTTTTCTATTACAATCTGTTGATATTGATATGAACACACTAGTTATTTTGTACAATTCATTATTTGAATATGTTCAAGCTTTACGATCAATATTTAATGATTATGAAAATTTTGCAAAAGTTATGTTTAAGAATGATGACATAGTTCCTGATTATGAACACAAAAATAGAAAACGTAAGAAACATAATGATGAATCTATTGAACCAGATGCTATTTTCAATGGAAACCAAAATTTCAAAATTAATACCATTTACATTATTTGTGATAATTTAATAGAAGAACTAAGAAAAACAAAAATTTCTTATGATGATATAATTTCTAAATACTTATTTTTCTTAAATATTAGTTAGTGAACAATAAACCTTAGAAGTCCGTGATTGTGCAAAAAAATTAAGAATAATATACAAGAATGATTGAAAAATTTAATAAAAGATATGAAGTTATAAATTAATTGAACATTTTTTTTTTTCAAGTTGAATTACTGAGTTTTATTTTATATTAATGTAACTATTAACTACTACAATTGTGTAATATCAATAAAGTAAAATATTTAGGTGATAAATTTTATTTTGCTCCTGGTGGCAATTTTTGCAAATACGGGTCTGTTTTTATTGAAAATTTGATTATTAATTCAAAATATAAAACATTGATATTTTCTAAAAACATTTAAAAAAAATAATTATAGAACTTGTTATTTAATTTAATTTAATATCATTTAATTTAAATTTATTTGTTAATTTCTATAGCTTCAGAATTAAATCTGGAACTTGGAACAGTACCGAAAATATTAACTAACAACAAACGAAAAACTGCACCTACGGATTTAGAATATTCTAATTACCTCCTGCAAAAGAGATTCATAAAAAAATATAAGGAAATAATTGAAGTTGGTGTGTTTCAATTTGTTAGTTAGGTCTATGAAAATTGTTGTTGGTTGAAAAATATTATATTTTATTTTTATACTACATTTTTATAGCTGGAAAAGAATTGGATTGGTCAAATGAACCTCTGGTTAAAAGATTTAAATATTATATGGGCTGTATAATTAATTACGAAGCAATTTCAGTAATGTTGGATCAAAATCTAAGCCCACACGAATCAGCCGTTGTAGTCGAAATTCAAAAGAAGAAAAATACCCTCAGAGTAATGGATGAAGTGAATATTTTTAGTAACACAAAAACAGAACTTACTAGTGTGAACAATGAAAATCGTTTAGTTTTTGACAATTGGTAAAGTGTTAAATACTGCTATAAATAAAATGCAGTATTTTGTTTATTATAATGAGAATGAACAATTTTTTTTCTAGGAAATCATTTTTTGAAAATTGCTATCGCAACGATTCCAGATTTAAAGATTATGAAATTGATATAGGTAACTTTCAAACGATCAATGTGACATCAAATCCAAAATATTGGTCTCCCAAGGACGTTTATGTGTATCTATTAAACGATCCGTGTTGCAAAAGTGTTGGAGATTTATTATTTAATGAGGTAATACAACACGACATAGTGGTCGGTACATAATTATCAATTACCTAACTGGTGTATTGAATTTGAACCGTTCGGATTATTGTAGGAAATTGACGGTAAAGCATTTATGCTACTGAACGAAGGAATACTGATGCAGAACTTTCAGTGTTCGATAAATTTAGCTATACGATTAATGTGTCATGTGGCCCAGGTTAATCATGTTTTTTTAAAAGAATATCATACACAAGACTAAAAGTAGGTATTTCGATTTCGATTTCGATTTTGTGGAAATTGTATTACGTTGTAGTATTTTTTAAAAACTAATTTTCCAAGTGTAAAGTACATTTTTTTTTTTTACAAAATAAGTACATTAAACGCACGTTTTTCATAATAAGTACCATTACTTACAATTTTCGGCTAAGTAAAGCCCAGCTCAGACTTGTTTATCGAATATTATAACAATTTTTTAATTAATATAATCAAATTTAAAGCCATATCACTTTACTTCCTTATTATGGTAACTCTATGGTTAGCGAATAAACGGGTATTCGTCTATTTGTTACAACTAATTTTAACTTTAAGATCGAAAATGATATACCGTATGGTACACAGTTTTATATAGGCACTACATACCATGTATAGGCCCGGGTCGAATACAATCAAGTTCCCTTAAATTTCATCTACGTTGCATGTAATGGTTAACAACATGGTTTTCTAAGTATTTATACTGTCCATTATTTAGTTTTTGTAACATATTTTTACGGTTTAACTTATACATAAGAAATTTGAAACTCATCATCATAATGAAAACTAATTTTATTAATTTTTTTTTTTTTTTTACAGGAAACACACTATTTGTACAAAACTGTTATTAAACATTTAATTTTAATTTTATTTTTTTGTGTACAAATTTAATTTTGCTCTTAATATTATTTTTGTTATTTTTGTTATTTTTGCATTCAACGGTTTATTTTTTTTTTTTATTATTTGATTTAAATATTTATGTCTTACTATTATTTATTATGATACCCAATTCAACGATGTTAATTAAAAATACATATGAATTATTTGTCGTTATATTTTAGTTATATTTATTCTGTGTACCTAGTTTTTATTTTAACGCTTAAATGTTAATCATACAAGTGACGGCTTTCCTTTTCGCCAATACTTTATTGTTATGCGTTCGCGTATCAGACTGAAGAGATAAAAATAATGCTTTTTTTTTAAGTAAAGTAAAATATTTAGAAAGGGAAAGAAATATTGAAATAGATGATAAAAAATGAAAACCATGGAACTTGCGTATCATTCACTTTGATTTGGATTCGAAATAATCCAGCATAGTTTGGGAACGTTAAAAAATTATGCGATTGAAATGCCATGGGACAGTGATTTACGATATCTACGAATATTGATTGTCGCTAACTGAAATTCGATAAACTATTCAATAACTGCAAACGGCTCTGTAATTATAGACGCGTTGGCAGAAAAATTGTTCCCGTGTAAACCTGATAATACTATTATACATCCTGGGCAAGATGAATCCTACACAACTCCAGACGACGATTGCGCACCAAGATTTGCGTGGTGTGTTCTCATACGGACGCGATATCCTGTTTAGAATTTGAGACGAGTCGCGGTTTGACTAACCGATACGAGTGCGTCAAAGTATTGTGTGTGTGTGTGTGTGTAACCTACTCGCCCTCAAAGGCGTATTTTAGGGAGGGTAAAGGGGCGATCGCCCTCCCTGAATTCAACAACTTTAATTGATATGTGATATTTCAAAAAATATTGGTATGGTAATAGTAATTATATTTGTTCCTTATTTTCCCACCTACAGTCATTTAACCTTGACCATTGTAAGTTTTCGAAAAAAAAGTATATAAATATAGACAATTTTCTTTTCGATTCCCCTAAATTAAGGTTCAGGGATCCGTCTGCACATTCGTACGGTGTCATATAAGTGGGAGAGAAGACCGAAGTTAACAGCTACACCTGAATGGAGAAGAACTGGGAGTGTATGCCTGCGCGTGGACCCGACATGTTGTGATAATTTTTGTTGTAATATTTATATAGGTATTTTTATGTACTGTCTACATACACTGTATTTGTGTTATAATAAAAGAGTGTTTTCAATTTAAATTAAATTAGTATTTTTATTTTATCCTTTAGAACGGCGTTTCCCAAACTTTTTTTCTGCTAGGCCCCTTAGAGATAATAAAAATGATTGCGGACCCCTAGTACAAATAAAAATTAAAAAACATTAATAAATAATAATAATTTGTATATTTTAAATTTTCATTTGCGGACCCCCTCCGGTATACGTGCGGACCACAGTTTGAAAAACGCTGCTTTAAAATATTAACATCAATTGTATTATTGAAAACTTTTTTTTAAAAAAAAATATAGTATGAATATAATATTTAACAATGATGAACTTTTAAATATTTTGAGTGAAAACAGCTACAAAAGATCAATTAGTAACACGAAAATAACTGAAATTTTCCTATACATAGCTGGATCAATTGGAAAATCTCGAGATCTTAGATCTATTTATGTATAAAACGCAAAATTTATTTGAACGTCATTGATCTAAAAATCCTAATGCATAATGTAAAGGGCAAAATGTCTAATGATGCAAAACAATTACAATACGTCTAAAAATAAATATGCACTGAAATACAGGCATGTTTACAATAAACACCTAGGGCCGGCTCATAGTATAGACGAGTTAGGCACCTGTCTAGAGCGGGACTTTAGTAAGTGAGGCATTTTCAAAATTGACTCCAACACATTTTTAGTTCTATTAGTGTTTTATAAGAAAAATATTTAAATTAATTCATTTGTGAAAATCACTTACCTATATAATAATATAATATTGTCTAAAGTTATTATATTACTTTATATTACGGCCTATACTGGGCGTTTTCAATTATCTAAAAAATATAAATAACCACATATCCAATATTCACGGTAGCGATGGATTTTGAGTAATAATAATAGAAATTATATTTAAGTCTATTTACATATAATTTTATCCATAAAATAAAAAATTAAAATTTTTTTTAAGTATATATGTCACATAAAAAATAGGGGGAGGAGCTAAGTTAAAATAAAAGCTAATTTTTTTTTTAGGGGCGGCAAAATTTGATTTTGCCTAGTGTACTATTTTTGCTTGGGCTGGCTCTGAACACCACAAACTCATGACAATGGACTCGTTAGATTGAACTTAATCTTAATGAATTAATGCATTGTTGTATTGTACAAATACTACAGATAATTGTAAATTTCAACACAAAACGACTGTTTTTCCTAGGTCTTTAAACAGTATTAAAATAATAACAGTACTCTGGAAAAGCTAATTCAGACTATGCCAATAATTTAGTCAAGTAGCGAGTATTTTAATAACTAATCATGTACGAACAGATCGATTTAGTCGAGTAGTTTAGTAAAGTAATTTAGTTTAGTAAATCCATTCTATTCTATTTTTTTGGTCGAGTAGCATTCCATTCTTTCTCGACTAATAACTAAATAAACTAGCTTTGGGTCTGAACTAGTGATGGGCACAATCAGTGATGTATTAGAAGGTATACGGGGGTATATGGCCAAGAGCGCCCATATGGGGGAGCAAGGGAGAGATATGTCCTCCCTGGAAAATGTCAAAAATCTTGGAAAATTGTTAACTATGATCAGAATATATTTATTTAAATAGAATTTAAAAATTTAATTTAATTTAATATATGAAAATCTATAATTTGTTTATGAAAAATCTATTTATTTAGTTTGAAAAATCAGGTTATTAGCTATAAATAGCAATACACTTTTTCGTTTCTATTATATGGATGGTTATCAATTCTTTAAATATTGTGTATTTCCAAAAATACGGTATGTATAAGTACGTATGTGTGTATACCACCATAATATTTGTATAATATTTGTAAATTAATATTTTAATAAATATAACTAATGATTTAAGTGTCCAATTTATATTATTAATTAAATAAAAATTTGAATAAATTACTTTTATGGTAAATTGGTTAAATACTTATTATTATATAGTCTTCCAGTTTGATATATATAATGTAATAGTATAATGTAAAATTGTAAACCCCTTTCTATATCGTGGGTCATTCCTATTTATGAATAGATTGATAAATTATTATGTTGTCCCCCCTTGAGAATTTTTCTATGACACTCTTGGATACGGCGTATACCCAATATGCTATTTGTATTCATGGCGTATAGCTTATGTGAAATTTATGATTCGCGGGTATACGGCTGTATCTATCGTATAGCTAGAAATTCGACAAATATAAATAATAAAACTTGTAGTTATATTAGAGTGACCATAAAGAAAATTCTTCATACTATGAAAATAAAAAAACGGGACAGCTGTTACTTCCCCCCCCCCAAAAAAAAAAAACCTCATCCATATACATTCACACATAAGCACATAAATCTCGAGGGTTAAGTCCAAATCTCTATCATATCATAAACAATTTTCTTTTTACTTTATCCTTTTTTAGTAAAATAACCCAAATAATTCTGTTATCTGTTATTTATAACTTTGGTTTCACATATTAAATATACGAGTAAAACTGTTTTAAATTTTTTTCATACATATATATTTTATTTACAATCATTATTACATTAAATAATAAATAATATGGAATTAACGGGATTAAAACGGGACAATTTTCTAAAAATAGGATAAAAAGCTTCCCATTCGAAGTTTGTTGGGACAATGGGACGTGATCAGGGCCGTCCCAAGGTTTTTCGGGGCAAGGGGAAAATTAATTTTATGGCCCTTCGACCATAATAATAAGATATGATAAACAAAATACTCACTGAAAATAACAACATTTTTATAAACGTATTTTTCCAAACCTTAACCAATCAAGCTTTTTTAAATTGATGTATTGCATCACATACTTACTACTTACATAACACAAATATGTAACTAACTGCACCGGTGGAGGAAATTGTTTTGACTGCGCGACTGGTCATGCTCTTACGCGCACATTGTATGACTGTATAAGTAGGTATTAAATTATAATATTATGTGAATGACGCAAAGAAGATAATCTTTGTCTCAATAATAAGGGTGGTCAACGACAATTCGTTATTATTATTTATTATACATCAAGATTTTTTGAGGGCCCCCTAAAAGTATTACAACAATGGGCCTGGGGCAAAATGGTCTCGTTGCCTCCCCCCCCCTCTGAACAGCCCTGGACGTAAAAAAAGGGACAATCCCGTTTTAAACGGGACGTCTGGTCACTCTAGGTTATATGTAAGGCCCGGATTAAAATGCACTTAAAACCATACAAATATACGAAAATAGCGAAAAATGAACTTAAAAATGAAAAAATGACATTTTTTTTTCGGGCATTATTTAACACACTATTAAATACATTAAAATCACATTCAAACGTAATACGAGCAACGCCTGCGAGGTAATACGAACTAGGGATGTGTCGTTCTTGAACGACTTCTTCGTCGTCAACGTTCTTCATCGAGAACGATTAATTAATTTTGAACTATCATCGTTATGAACAGTGCAACCATGCAACCATACCACTACAATATTTATGATGGTTAATTTTTATTTATTAAGAGTGCAGTACTGATCACGATTTAAGATATTACTATCTTAAATCGTGGTACTGATTCAGTGATTCGCGCGGATTTTGAATTGAATATTAATATATTTATTATTTATATATATTGATATACCAATTTTTATTATTATTGTAATATTATTTGTTTATATTAATGTAATGTATAAAAATAACTAAAAAATAAAAGACATAAATATTTTTAACATTGTTATTTATATTTGTTTCATTTATATATAAAATTAATACACCTTATTTTGATAAAACACAGATTATATTGGTTGGTCCCGTAATATTTACTAATATTATCAATTAAAATATGATAAAATGCATAAAATAATATAATTTTGAGTATGTGAGGGAGTGGGTGGATGGGTAAAATTATTTCTTGCTACACTTAAAAAATATATCTTGGGCGCCATTGTATATAACTATACACTGATTTTTGTATGAATAGGATCTATAAATATCATAGAATTTTTCCTGTTGTTCTTTTTGTTTATTTTTCATATTAAACATTACATTTCTAATTTGCCATTTGCTACATCTGTTCCGTGTGAGAGACTTTAGTAAGGCTGGAATGACATTAACTGAACAAAGAAACCGAATTAAACTAAGTAAAACATCTCAAATATTTTTTTTAAACCAAAATCTATAGTTTGCAATATATATTATTTATTAAATTATATATATATATATATATATATATTATCTACCTATTATAGTGTTACTTAACAGGTAAAAATTAACAAGGAGTTAATAGCATAGAATATTAGAATTATTAGTAATTACCAATAGATTAGGTAAGATAAGATAAGATCTTTCAGTTATAAATTATAATATAGGTAATCATTATTATTTATTATACTTAAATATTTATACATAATGGTAAATATATACTATTTATATTTAATATATTATGTTATATTTTATAAACTATATATAATATATATGCTATATGCTTGTATTTTTGTATAGGTAAGCCATACAAGTTTATATTTATATAAATTATTATTTTTTTCGTATAAACAAAAAAAGTAGCTAACTTATAAATTTAATATTTTCTAGATACCTACCTAACATAAAGATCCAAAAGTATTGTGCAAATAACGAATATTACGAAACTTAAGAAACCCAGGGAAATTGTAACTACTACTATTAGTTAAATTAAGAACTTCGACTTTCGAGATATACATTCAGTGCTAGAGGTGGGAAGTTTGGATTACTCTCATGATTCGGTTCATTCGAATCAGTTCAGTAAATTGAACCGGATAAAGACTGGTTCGTCAAATCGGATCATATTACATGACGAAATTATGTAATAACGAAAGTACGACTACTACGAGAAACAAGACGTGTGACTCGTGACTTGTGAGTCCGATGACGGCCGGGTCCGGTTCACGGATGATCCGAAATCCGAATTGAAAAACGAACGGTTTCAGTGAATTCAACTTACAAAAAAAAGAATCGGACGAACGTTGACCCGTTCGTTCGCGAACGACACACCTCTAATTCAGTCAATCCGTGTATCGTTCAGTGAACGATGAACGAACGAACTACTATACCTAACTGAACGAAACTTCAAGTTCCCAATTTCCCATTCCCAATTAAACAGAACTACGAGATATACATTACATAAGCCATGTATCGTTCAGTGAACTAGTTCAATTAAGTGAACGATGAACGAACGAACTAGTTCACTCAACTGAACGAAACTTCCCATCCCTAATACGAACTAAAGCTGATTATTAGTTATTCGACCAAATACTGACGACGTTCTATATCCAATAATAAATTGAATCGAAAATTAAAGATTGACAATGTGTATGGAAAAACCCAATAAACCTACTTAAATGTCAAGAAAATAATTTGTCTTTTGATTTTATTTTGAATAGGCTAAATTTGTGTAATATATCGAACAAATATGCATTAAAAACCAACAAAATCACCCAATAATAATAAAAATGCTCTAAAAATGAAAAAACGTCGAAATATGCAAAAAAAATGCAAAATAAAATTTGTAGTTTTGAAAACCTCATTACATGAAACGAATTATGTTCTTAGATAGCATTCTGTATGATCAACCAAAAAAATATGCACTTTGCATTAAAATCCGGGCCCTAGTTATATGTACTCATATGACATGATTCGGTATTGGATATATTATTATTTTCATTTTTTAATGAAAAATTCAAATTTGTTACCATTTAACATCTAGTTTTTGTTATCAAACAGTCATAATAAAGGATGTGTAGTTCATGAGCGAGTTTTTTTGATTCCTACCAAATGATAGTTACTACATAAAATAATGCGTATACCCATTATTTTAGCAATACATCACTGGGCATAATCGAAATATTAGTATTTTTGTAATCGAGAGATGTCTCGAAATATTAATAATCGAGGTACGTAATTAGTGATAGGCATAATCGAATGATTTCAAAAAATCGAAATATTAGTAATCGAGACATTTTTATAATCACGAGATGTCTCGAAATAATACCTCTTCCTAAATAGCCGTTTAAATAAATCCTATTGCTTTATTCAAATTTTTTTTTTTTGTAAACTATTCATTTTGACAATCACTTTTTGCAGCACCAAAACGACTACTAATGTACTAAAACAGTTTTAAACCCTAGTTGTGTCTGAACACTTTGCAGTTACTAAAACCGTCTAGTAGTTAGTAAATCACTTACCACTCAACTCAATCATTGGCATAGTCTGAACTAGCCTTAAGTATAAAATATTTTAATAAATAAAAAAATATGACAGTTAGAAAATTTTATTATATTAAGAAAGAAATTGATTTGAAAAAAAAATGAGTTAACAATTTATACAATCTACACCAGAGGTTCCCAAACTGTGGGTCGCGATTATATTTTTAGTGGATTGCGTTATATTTTTCATTTGTTTCTATTACTTATGGTTGATGTATAATTATTTAGTTAGTTTTATTATTAACTGTTATCTGCGATTGTGACAATTACAAATTTACTGCAACCAATAGACATAATAATATTTCTTTATATACTTATGCTCGACTGTGTCAACACAACGCAATCGGATTAATGATTATTGAAAATATAGCAATATATTTGAAACAAATTAGTATCTGTATGACGTTCAAATAAATTAATTATTTTCAGTAACAAACGGTACATTGAATACGATACATGCTGAAGTTTACAACGATATAGTTTAAATCTTACTATTTTTAAAATAACCAAGAAATTCGTTTTTTTTTTGTGCTTTTGTACAATTACTATGGACAAATGGTTAAATAAAAAGTCAATGACTCAAAGTTCTACGAAAACTGAAGAAACAGAGATAATATCTGAGTCAGCGGTTAAAAGAAAATTAATTGATGATGAGCTTACAAGTTCTTTTCAATCAATATAAAAAAGTGAATATCAATGCAGTTATGAAAAATAGGAAAAAATTTATATACTTACTATTAAATTTATATACTTACTAATTAAATTACATAGTATAAACTTTTTTTTATAAATATAAAACTTTTCTTCAAAAATTAAAATAATTTCTAAAATGGGTTGTAGATAAGAAGTACAAGTTTGGGAACTTTTGATCTATTCCATTTTGTTTACATTATTATAATTGAATAAAAGTAAAAAAAATTAAACACTACCACATTTTATTCAAAAAGAAAATAATTATAACAGATATACAAGTTTTTAATGGTATAAATCATTTTTATTAAGTATGTACAATGTGTATAACCTAAAATGTATACTTATAAAAAAATTGGAAATCTTAATTCATATTTACTTAGTATTATTTTTTAAATTAAATTATGTCTTTATTTTTGAATCCACAAATTAATAGAAAAAATGTTGGAAGATAAATCAGTCAAAATGTAACATATTTATAAGAAACTTTATGGTTGATAATTTACAAATAATGTATTATGCATTTTGGTTAAACATTAAATTTAAAAATCAATACATCTGAGTAAAAAAATAATAAGGGTACAAATAAACAAATATTTTAAATACATTTTAATTGAAATCTATCAATAGTTATAAATAAAATGGAGAAATAAAAAAAAAATTAGTTTTCATGATAATCATCAATTTTGAACGGTTGTGCATATCCAAATAAATATTTCAAACAGTAATAAATTATACGAATAGCATAGAAGAGACCAATCCAAAACCTGCAGTTATTAAAGAACAGAATCAATGTCAACAAAAATAAAATCCAAGTGACGTTGAAGTATGACGCAATCCAGCGAAAACTTATTGTAGGTGGAAGAATCTTGGGTGTTCTTACACGTCTTCCAGAACCATCATTTCTAGGTTCATAGGAAAATATTTTCATTGGTTCTCTTAATAATGCTTGGCGAATAACTCCAGCGAGAAGATTATTTTTTGAAGATAACTGTTGTATGTGTGAATTCAGCTGAATAACAATAAATAAAAAAATTAAATAATAACTAAAAAGGTGTGTATAAATAAGTGTATGTTCTTACATAACATTCAACAGTATTCCTTAAGAATTTACTTAACTCTACGAGGAAATAATTTTCATAAGATAAAGCTTCAAGATAATCTGGATCAATCTCCCATTCTTTTGCTACATTTGATGATCTAAGAGATGAATTCAATGTATTCTAAAAAAGGAATGTTCAAATTAACAAAATTACAAATAAAATAAATAATGTTATAATAACTACTATAAAAAATTGTAAAATATCTTATTTGAAAAAAAATATCCAGACTTGATATTTTTTTATATTGATTCAATGTAGCGTATTATTTATATAATTATATTATACTTTATAAATTGACTTGTAAAAAGTTTTTATTTTTAAGCTTATACTCAGTATTAGTTTGTATCAAATAGTATCACATAATAATGAAGTTAAAGTTAGGATTCTATAAATTTGATTTGAATAAAAAAAACCACAAAAGAAAATGTTATGCTAGGATTTTTAAATAAATTACATTATCTAACAACAGAATAATTTAATTTGGACAATAAATTAATATTATAATGGAATAAATTATTTATTTTTTTATAGTTAGAATATAAAATGAGTTGAACTAAAGAAATTCAAAAATTAAAATTAATTTGAATTGATACCAACTTTAATAAGATTTATATTTACTATTCATATACTAATAATTTATCAAATTGTAATGATAGAAAAATAAAAACTTAAAATACATTTTTGGTGCCAGTTTAATCTACCAATACATAGTTTTTTATAATAAAGTATTGTAAGTAGAACATATGATATATGTTGTAAGTTCTATTATAAATCAAACTGATATAAAAATCCTTCTTTCAAAAGAAACAAAAACATACAATAATGTGGTTATTACTACCTTAATAAGATGAAGATATCTGAAATAAATATGGAAATCAAAAACATGGTATATATTAACAGTTAGTACTGAGTGTTCGGTTTTATTTGTATTATCAATTATAGATAAAGAGATAGATATCAGTACAATGATTCATAACAAGCAAACTTAATATACTCTAAAGCAGCGGTTCCCAACCTGTGGTACGAGAAATTTTTTATATTTATTATTATTACCATTCGATATTATCTGTTTTATTTGATATTAGTTAATTTAATAAATGTCTATGACAAAGGAACAAAATGAACATAGAAGACAACTCAAGACCTGCAGTTACCAACATGGAGCCCAATATTAACATCATAATTTATTCAATACAACATACACTATCTCATTAAATTATTCATTTATATTCATTATAATTAATTATAACTGTAAATATTATACGTTATGATGCTATTTGTGCATTAAATGCTTTTTTATTTATATAGTTTAAATTCTTCTTTTCCCTCACCTTTCTTGCCTTTCGAATATAGTCTAATTAATTACTTAAAATTAGTTATAAATAAGTTTCATACATATAAAACAGTATCATTTTATTTGTAAATAATTATCAAACATTTACTTAAGAAAAAAAAAAAAAAGGTCAAGTGATATATAAACATTTTTCAAAATATGCAAGTGGTTACACAGATATGAAAAAGTTGGGAACTGCTGCTCTAAAGATCATGGATTTATTCACCAATTTGTGAATCATAGTAAAAATATTAGTCTAAATATTTTATTTTACAAATAAAATACACATAATAAACATTATTCTTAAAACTGTAATATTCTTATCTATTAATACATTTAAACTTACACTTTTAAAAGTCTTAACCATGTTAGAACGATTGAACAACGAATGGCTATTATTGAAGATGCTTGAATTACTAATCCCACTAATACCAGAAACAGACCATGCGGATAAATTGCCCATCATTGGATCAGAGGTTACATTAGTATTCTTAAAAATTTTAAAATATTAAAATAATTATATTTTATAATTTATTATATATAATTATATTTATTAAAATTATAATTTTTAGATAACTCTAAGATAATTATATATATATGAGTATATTAACTTACAATAATTTGCTCCATCAATGTTAATGAAGAGTTAAGGTGTTTTTGAATATCTTCCCATTCAGAAAGAGTATAGTCTGAAATATTATTCTTTTTAGGTGACAGTATGAGTTCTAACATGGATGAATTATTCCTGTTTTTTTTGTCTTCTTGAAAACGGTTCAGTTCCGTAGTAACATGATCCAAAGATTTATGTAATTTTAAACAAAATAATTTGTACTAAAATACAAATAAAATAAAACAGTACATATTACTAATAAAACTAACAGGGAAAATAGAATAATTCTATTAATTATTAATATCAGATATTCAGGTGGAATCACAGATATATATACTAACAAAATAGCCAATGAAAACAAAATAGTGTGTGAGTATCCTTCATATGCTGACATGGTAATGTTTACAATTAATACCTGATAAGCAAGCAAGGAGGGGCAAGGGAAGCTTGGTTAAGGGGTCAATCTTTACCCCAAAAATATATTTTTTTCAACGTGTTCAAAACAATTTAAAAAAAAAAAAATTTTACTTATAACTAGGGTTCAGGACTTCTTGCACTTAAAATTATCGAAATATGCAGTCAAAATCATCAAAATATGCTTTAAAATATGCATCTAATTTTTTATTTTGTTTTTAAAAAACGTATAAGATATATTATAAATATAAAAATATAAAAAGTAGGTAGGTACTTAATAAAAAAAAAATTTTACACAGGTTACTCATCTCCATCTATATCGTCTTCAAGTTCATCTGTAACATGTTTCATGATAATATGAAGATAAGCCTGTAGGAGTATAAGATTCATTAGGTTTTACCACAACTACAAAATTGTCGATAAAAAGGTTGATTATTAAGTGATAAAGAGACTATCATCGCAAACAGACGTTTGTGTTAGATATGACAGACTACGACCATACAATTATGATTTTTCCCAACAATTTTACGTTTATAAAAATATAAAAATGTGAAATATGCCCAAATATGCTAAAAGTTGCTCAAATATGTGCTTTTCTTAAAATATGACGAAATATGCAAAAGTACGCAAATTCAAACTTAGTATTTAATTTTGTTATTTCATAAAACAAGTGTATAGCTCACTTAGAATAGACTACGACCACTACAAAAAAACATGCAAATGCAAGAAGTCCCGAACCCTACTTATAACTCTAGTTACCTATAAAGTGTGTTCTTTATTTATATAATATTGTGTATAATACCTAAATTATTACATTAATTTATTTGTCTTATGTATTTTTTTTTTTTTTGTATAATATAAACTTATACAATAAATAATAACATACAGTCTTTAATATGTAGTGATATAATTATTTTTAAGTTGAAAGGAGACCCACTGAGTATATAGTATCCCAGGATCCAATTGATCGATAATCCGGGCTTGCTGATAAGGAACAATAATAACTTTGATAAATTAAATAATTTTACTATAGCATCAACTATCAAGTAGTGTATGTACTAATGTTATTTTTTTTTACGTAATTAGGTGGATGGAATAGAAATTAAATTTTAAATAAATAAAGAACATTTTTATTTTATTTTAACATTTTATACACCTGTATAGTAATTGATTTCCAATTATAGCATAGTGATTCAAAAAATTTATATATTTTTCAGACTTACCACAATGAAATAATTTTTATTATCGATATTAAAATAAGTTACTTATAGATAAATTTACAATAGCTATAGTTATTAAATATTAGAATATTTAGAAAATAAACAAAACTATTTTAATAACAGTTATATTTACTTCTTGTGTACGTTCCTCAGAAAACATAAGTTCATACTTAAATAATGGGCCTTCTGCCTCTATAAAACATTCAGACATTAGTAAATTCCATTTTTTGTGCGATTGGTGGTTACTTATATACATATGTTCTATATCAAGAATTATTTTTATTAGATACGGATGGGTAAACACCTAAAACAGAATATTATATATATACTAAACATATAAGCAACGTTATGTATCAATTATACTGCAGTTTAATAATTTACTTTAAGCAATCGAAAAACCATTACGGAATATCTTGGTGAACAAATGTCAATGCAAGTGAATCGTTTAATAGCAAAATAAAAAAGCTTAGTATAACATAGCAGATTTCTAGTAATAAATACTCTCCATTTATCGTTCATCTCATTTTCTGTGATGGAATATTGTCTAGATAAAAAAAAAAAAAAAGGATTTGGGAGCATATCTATAAATATGTATAAAATTAAAAGTTAATACTGATTAGACAAATTATCATATCGCCAAGGTTGAATAAAACAAAGCCAATTTTCAAGTAATAAGCGAAATGAAAAATCTTGAGGCCAACAATCCATATAATATGATAAATACTGATATATTTTTATACTATGTCGAGCCAATAATATTCTAAAAACATATTTAATGAAACATCATAAAATATAAATAATAATTAAAAAGATAATCTTACGATTTCAAGTTGTCCTGAGGTTGATGTTTAGCTAAATTTGAATATATATGCAAGTGTTTTATAAAACATCTTATTAGTTTAGTTAAATTGATAGATGGTACCTAAAATACAGAAACAAAATTGTAAAAAAAATGTTCATATTAAAATGGTTAGGTATTTGTAACTATTCTTCTTTATTTATAGTAAAATAGAAACAATTAAAACTGAAATAAATTTTTCATATTAAATTAGCAAACATTTATAGTTAATATATATTAACTATTAATTATGTTGTAAGCATTGATTGTAGATAGTTAAAACCCATATCTTTAATAACTTTTATAAATGTTAATTTATTATAAAAATAACTTATTTAATTATTTTTAAATTATAATAACATTTATACAATGCAATATTAAAAAAAAAAAAAAAAAAAAATGAAGAAAATAGTATCTAATACTGTATTATTGTTTAGATTATTAAAATAAATGTTTCTGACATACATAATACAATATTAAATTCTAAATAGATAATATATTTTAACTAAAAAGCAAAATATTGAGTAAAATACAAATACTTACAGAAGATATATTACAACTTAACCAGATATCAGCAAAATAAAATGAAACAAGCTCACTACGCCATGTTGCTTCTGACGTTAACACCCAAGATGAACTTACAGCCTTATCATTTGATAAATCATTATAAGCTACATCTTTTTTTATAAAGTTTAGAAGTTTGCTATAATAAAATACATTTTATTATTAAAAATACAATTATTTTGGATTGAATAACTTTTATGATAATTTAAGTTAATTATATCAACATTTAAAAAAAAAAAAAAAAAGTTACCAAAGAAAAAAACATTATTATACAATATCACAATAAGTATATTTTTACATACCTTGTTCTTGTATATTGTTTTTGATTCGGAACTGATGAAAGAACATTGAATGTTAGTTGAGGTTGAATCATTGATGCAAAATTTTGTAAAGGCAAAAAATAACCAAAATAATCTAAGCATAATGATTTGTATACTGATGTTTCATGTAAATCAACATGATAATTTGAAAAGTCGTCCACAGCTAACTTTAGTCCATATAATGCAAAATTAAACATGTAATATTCAAATGAATCTAATATTGTAAGGTTAAAGAACAATTTAACAATATAAATAGTATTGCTATTTATAATAAACAAATAATTTTATAGTTAATAATCCAACACAAAAATTTCCATATAACATAAATCTCCTAAAAACAAATGTTTTATGGTTGTGGGTTTGTAGCATAATACAATGACAACAAGCATAATATAAATTGATAATATATCAAATATATTTATACTTTTCTTATTTTCTTTTTTTTAAAGGATACTCAAGCTTAAACCAATTGGCAAATTGGAATCCAAATTAAACAAAAGTCGTGAACCATAATAAGATTGTCCATATGATCTCTCCAATTTTTGTTGAAGCTCAATCTAAAATTCATTTTTCCAAATATATCATTATTATTAATTCTTATTAATTTAATAAATGAGATAACTTACTGGTAGGTCAGAAAAATAAATAGTGAATTTGATCAAACTGTTGGAAAGTAATTTGTAGCATAATTTAAAAATATTTCCACTGCTACATAAAAAGTTAAATACAATATTTTGCTCTCTAGAAATGTACTTTTGGTCATCAAATTTCTGTATTAATAGAAACATAAATAAAATCTTTATTATGAATCATTAACTTTATTAATTTAATAAGAAACATTTATATTATTTAAACTTGAAAAATTAATTTTTTCATTTAATGATAAGTCTTATAAAATAAACTTAATATTATACCTATTAAATTATTAATATTCATATAATGAGATTATACCCATTATATATAAATTGCATTAACAAACAAGTGTTTCTATTTAAAGTAGCATTAGTTGTTAAAGTAATAAAATTTTCAAATTTGAACAATGCTCGTCATATTAAATAATGTAACATAAAATATATGTGTGTATGCGATAAAACTTAGATAAATATTAATAATTGTTGTAAACATATTTTACTTTCTTTTAACGTAATAATGCATGGCTTTTCATAGACCAAAATGTTTAAAATTTTGTAACAATACTTATAAAACTTACAGTTGATTAATAAAAAAATAAAGTATTCACTTTATGTAACCTATATTTTATTTTGTAAAAAAGACTGATACACAATTGTTGTGTTAACGCGTTGAAGGAATAATTTTCAGAAAATTTTATGAAACCATGTTGTGCAAATATCTGACAGAAAGACAAAATGGAATAGTACTTAGTACCAAAATGAAACTATTTCATACATAGGTAAATACTATGTACCTACAAACATTTTACACGAGTCATAGAAATGATACGTATTTAAGGACTGTTAATGCATTCGTATCTTATATCCATGGAGTATTTATTTATCAACTGAACCGAACAAACGAGTACCCAACAATATTAATCGATAACGTTTTAAATTACAAGCATGGTTTACACGCTCAAGTCCAATGAAAAAAATCGTACCTTCAATCTGAGCTTGTCCAATTCCCATCCTTGACAGTTACCGCGCCCAAAAATCTCCGTTACGATTTCATAGAACAAGGCGTACAGGTCGTTTTCATTTTCTTCTTCGATGTAGGTTGACATTAGTCTGATGCGTTCTGTCAACGAATGGGAAGAGGACCACCTGCTGTTGCCGGAGGACACCATCCGCAGAGAAGTTGGCGCGACCGCGACATGATAGCCGTCGAAGGAACCGTCGACCGTGTGCGCGCTCGAAACCGGAGGGTAGGAAAACATTGGTGCTACTACAGATCGCTTGCAGAGGACGTGCGGCGATTTCGCGGATGGCCTATGAACGCGGACGATTGCCGAGAGCCGGACGCGAGAAGTTGGACACGGGACGCGGGCTTCGGGAATCGGACGGTTGCCGGCGATCGGTTCTACACACGGCGGCGTCGGCGGACGACGAGATCACGGCGGACGCATGCGAGCGGCGTCGGAAACCGTTACGGCAATTATCCTTATTACGTTATCAGTTTATGGATAAACGGTCACATTATCAATGGGACACTGACGGTATCGCGTTCCGAGGCGGGCACGATTTGTTATCAGCTATCTGGTTGTGTTGCTATTTCATTCGTATTATAAACCGTATCTTATCCTTTCGGAACTCAATAAAACACGTTATATAAGCCCAACGCATTACGTGAATTATATTTTTGTGTTTCTGTATTTATTTATACGTTGGAACAAATCTACTTTAGGTACCGGGCACCCTTTTTTTTTCAAAATACGTGGTATTATGCTGAATTCAAAACTGAAAAAATTCCCGCAAACATACCATTCAAATGTTATGAAATTTCAAAGTTGCAGTGATTAAAAATGTTTCGGCACTTGTCGCTACGCTCTTCGGCGCCGACACTCCGCTCCACAAACCCAAAATATCCCCCGATTTGTTGTGTAAAACCCCCTCAGGTGCAGTGGCGCTGAACACGTACTTTTTTGGGGCAGTTCGCCTCTTCATTTAACCATGGTGGGGGTGTCTGGTGTTTGGGGGGGGGGTCGGATGGTTAAATTTACACTCTAGTTAGTAAATCTTATGAATATACAAATTAAATAACAGTCGATCTGTAGATGGTAAGATACTATGATGCGATAGAGCAATTCGCCATCAATGCATGTTTTTATACCGTATCAAGTATAAAGACGTACATTGACATTTATATCTTTCGCACACATGATGAAACTAAATGCCTTTCGGTTCTCAGTTGTTAAAAGTAATTATACAGCATACAAACACATCTTTTGAATCTTTTAAGATAGTTACTTAAATTACCAATAGCCCCGTGAAACATTTTTGAAACATCTTTTTTTAAATTACAGTTGTTTAAAAAATGAAATAAACTGTTTTTGTATTACATTTTATTAATTTTAATAACGCATTTAATATTTAAATAATTAAATCTATATTTATATACGCTTCAAATTCATATTAAATGTTTTTTTCTAAAACCACTATGAAGTAGGTTAAGCAATAAGTAAGGTAAATAGATAATAAGTTTGTGTAAACGAACTTTTTCTACTTTAATTTTTAAAAAATAAATATGGGAATAAACTGAATTTGTGAAAGTGATTTAAGGCTAAAATTTTCAATTTTAATCTAGATATTGATTCTCTCGTGGGGACAATCAAAAATCACATTAAATTGTATAACTCTAAAATAATCTGGTTCAATGAAGTTTTTTTTTTTTTGTTGAAATAAACAATTGTTTTTAATAAATAAATTGTAATAACTGAAGTATATGCATATTATATATATTAGAGATGTAAAATTTAAGTAAATTTTTTTTTTTGGTAATTTACAGAGAAAAATTTACGTAAATTCTGTAAATTTGGTAAATTTTGATAATTTTTGTATGTCGTCATAGGAACACACTTAGGAACTCCTCACTTCCACTTTTCCATGAACTTATAATTATTGTAATGCTTATTTTTATTATTTACTGGATAGTGTGGTGTTCATGGTATTATAAATTTAATATATGATTTTATATAAGTCCCTAGTAGTGTTATTACTTATTATTGACTTCTTTTCATGTATTTTCAATTACTTTATATTATGAATAAAAATATTATAAATGTACCTACCAATAAAATAAATTGTAAATTAATCAAATCAGATTCATTAGGTAACTATAACATCAACAACAAAGAAACAATTTAAATTCTAGTTTTTTAGTTTTATATTTAATTTGTCTTTTCCTCAAGTTATAATTAGTTAAAATTATAATTTAATAATAAAAATAAAAAGTAATAAAAATAAAATAAATACATTTTACCAATCTGGTTATTGTGTGATAAATGGTGAAATACACTGAGTAACAAAATTATAAAAAGATCTTATTAATAATAAATAATTAATAAGTATAAAATCAAAATTAAAAATATTAATATTATTCTTCCTAGTCTGATCTAGAGGATAGAGTGGAATCTGAATCATCAAATAAATCTTTTGAATTCCAATCTTCTTCTGAAGATTCTGAGAAAGAACTAGAAGTTAAGTTTCACATATTTTTAGATTTTGGTGTACTTGTTGCCATGAATGTTGATGTTCTAGGTGTAGATGGTCCAGGTGTAGATTAATAGTCGATTTCATTAGTGTCATGACATATTGTATTTACCTGTCTCTCTTTGTAAGGTTTATTTTTAGGAATACTTGATTTTTTAAAATTATTTCTATTTTGATGAATATAAAGTAATTTTGCTGCACGTTCATTTGTTAATCTATTTCTTTTTTTCTGTGTATATTAATAAGAATGTACTGAAAGACCTTTCTGTAGCAGCAGAAGATGGAGGCAGAGATAAAATTGCTACTGCAATTTTGTTTAAATAAGAACTACCACATATCCCCTTCCACCAAGTGAAAGGATTTAAATTTTTTATTTCAGTAGACCAAATAAAATTATTACTCCAAAAGCCTTCATTGGAACGGTATTGAGCTAGTTCAATCATTATTTGTTGAGTTTCTTCAGGCATTATTGCTGTGGCTGCATTGAAAATGTACTCAACACCTGCTATGTCATTTATTTGTGATAAATGTTGTCCTTTATATCTTGGATCAAGTATGGAACTAGCGTAATGCATAGCATGAAGAGCCATACATTTTCTATGTTCAAATGATTCAAGTATGGATGTTTTTTCTTCATCCGAAAGAAAATTTATGTTAGGAAGCTTTAATGTTAAGAGAGAACTTATGTCATTTACTGCATAAAATACATCACTAACATATGGATCATCTGATTCTAACTTTTTTATCCATTCAGTTATAGGTTTCATTAGGTCCAATACTTTATCTATTTTATACCAAAATGAAAACTCAACAATGTGCATTTGTATATTTCCTAGTTTCTTAACTACATTGTTATCATCAGACCAAGCTAATTGCTGCAAAATCCCTTTATTTTGTATAAGACTTTCTAAGCAGTGAACAATTGAACCCCATCGAGTTTTAATAGGCATTTTTAAAGTAGTAAATACCTCTTTTTTTTACTTTTGAATTATAACAAATATAGATTTTAAAATATGAGTGTTATTAATTGTCTTTACTATGGTTTTTGCCATTTCTTCCAATGCACTCACATTTTTAAATTTGAATATATCGTGTACAAGTAAATTTAATGTATGGCATATACATGAAATATGCTATAGGCAAGTCTTTATAACATGGATCATTCTTTAAAATTGTCCATGCTTTTTTCATAGAAGCTGCGTTATCTGATACAACACCTAAGCAACGATCTTTTCTAATACTATCAATGACTATACTTAACTCATTGGCTACATACTCCGCTGTGTGTCTACTTGTAGTAGTACTTAAAGATTTGTAAACAACTGGTTCTGGGGTAGTAATAATAATATTCATAATAGGTTAATTTCTAAAATAAATAATAAAATATAATTAGATACACATTTTTATTTAAAATAGTATCAATCAATATACTTTATATTACTCCAGCCATCTATCTGTATTTCAAACACAAAAGCTTCATTAACTTTTTTATTTACATTAATTGACATCTGTATATATTCATCATCAAGAAGTTTATTAGATATAAGATGTCTTGATGGAGGAATAAAACTTGGCCTTAAATCTTTAAAAAATTGAATCCAATAATCATTTTCCACAATGGAAAATGGAGTTGCTGTTGAATATTTAGCTGTTGCCAAAAGTTTCCATAAATGTTCTTATTTAGTCAATAATAATTAATAAATATACTTTTAAAAAGTTATTTTGAATGTAAAAAAAAAACTGTTTTCTAAGTTATATACACTAAGTATTTATTTATTTTTCTTTTAATATAGTAAGTCTTACAAATTTCAGATGTCTAACTAACAATACAGTAAGTTGATATTTATTATCATTGTTTATAAATACTATAATATAAGGCGTGTTTTCGCGATTAAACAAATGTAACCTGGTTAATGAATTTTATAAACAAGTCGTTTTCACGGTTTTGGTTATAACTGTGGTAATAATTTTTGGTCAAGGGTTACTGATATTTTATAACCGATCAAATGTAATGGTTATGTTGTTTGGTTGTTGATATAGGAAAGTGATAATGGGATAGATATTAAATTGGCAGTTTTATATTTTATTTTTATAATATTAAAAATATATACTTAGACGTATTTGAAAATCTCGTGAAGAAGTTGTATAGTTATAAAAGTTATATTAGTTTAATAGTTATGTCGTCTGAAAGTGGAACGTTCGTCAATTTTATCTTGTCTGATGGCAAAATGATATACTCTGAAGATAATAATGTGCTGTGTAATGTGAAAATTCAAGGTAAATATAAAAATTGTAATGTTTAAATATACTTGGTATTATTAAAAAACTCTTATATATTTAAAATATTTAATTTATTTGTAAATTTTATAGACAAAGTATGTGAAATGTGGGTACCAGCATCGTCTTTGGTTGATATAAGTATGACCAATGAAGATTCTGCTCAAATTGAAGATTGTAAATTAAGTGATGACAAAACATCAGTTAATGGTAAATATATCACATAATTATTTACTTTTTATAACGTTATGATATAAATCGAGAATTTAATTAAATCACAGCCTATTACATTTTATTTATACCTATTTACATTTTATGTTTTGTAGAATCAATGATAACAGAAGAAGAAATATGGTCTTCACGTAAACCAAAACCATAAGATGTGAAAGCTACAGAAGATCTTTTAAATATAGTTAATCTTGAACATATTCAAAAGCAGCTACTGGATAAACGAACTCCGAAAAACAAACTATGGGAAAATATAGCTTTGAAACTTAAAGAAGATCATAGTTATGTAGTAGGTAAATCTTTAAAAGTTAGTGGAATGAAATGTCATCAAAAATGGAGGAATTTGGAAAAAGGATACATGGCTTTCATTCAAAATAGTAAAAAAACTGGAACAGGGAAGATCAAAAATCCACCATTCTTTGATTTACTTCATTCTATATTAGGTAATAAACATAAAGTGAAACCACCTATTTTACTAGACACTTTAGATTTGGATATGACAGAATTTGACAAAACTGAAGTTGTAAACCCAACAAATATCCAAAAGTGGAAAGATTTATCTGATGAAGATATAAATGAAGGTTCTTCACATTTTAAAAATATTAAAACTTCTTCAAAACCAAAAGACTTGAAAAAAGAACTAATTGATAAAATGAGATCGCAACATCAAGAAGATATGATTATGCAAAAGAAGCTTATTGACGTTTTTGAACAGTCAATCAATGAGCAAAAAGAGCAGCGTCTCATTTTAAATAACGCGTTGTCAGCTATTGTAGATAGTTTAAAAAAAAAGTGAAAAAAATATCTCCAAGAATTGACAAAAGATTAATTATATATTTTTAGATCTCTGAAAAGGAAGATAGATTAATTCAAAGAAGACTTATTAATTTTATTTTAATTTATTTGTTATTATTATTATTATGTTTATATTTTATATGCCAAGTTAATTTCATTAAATATTTATAAGATAGTTTTAAAAAAAAGTGAACAAATATCTACAAGAATTGACAAAAGATTACTTATATATTTTTAGATATCTGAAAAGGAAAATAGATTAATTCAAAGAAGACTTATTAATTTTATTTTAATTTATACATGATTATTATATTTATATTTATATGACAAGTTAATTTCATTAAATATTTATAATTTTGTACTAACAATAAGAAGTTATTAAAGTAATATAAGTAATAGAAGTATAAAACTTTTTTGAACATTAATTTAATTGACTACTTAAAATTGAATTTCTTTTTACATCCCCAGTTATAATTTCAGCTCTATTTTTTGTATGTTCTTGATTTTCATTCACTTTAAGAATATTTTCAATAATAACTTCAAGATTGTCATCATTTAAAATACAAAAATTATGAAGAACACAGCAAGCAAGTATAATTTTTGATGCTTTCTTCATATCTGTTGTGTTAATATATAACAGACGTCTCCACCTCCCTTTAAGTAAGCCAAATGCGTGTTCAATACAAACTCTTGCTTTGCTATGTTTATAATTAAATTGTTTTTTTCTGGCATTTAAATTTCCATAATCTTTAAAGGGGGCAATCAACCAGCTAAGATTAGGATACGCTGAATCGCCTAACAAATGATAATTATTACTGTAGAATAATGCATGTTGTCCTTCTTCATCGACCTTTTTATATAATTGACTATTAACAAACACTCTAGCATCATGAAGCCTACCAGGAAACCCTACATTTACATTTGTGAATAATTTATTGGATGAACAAATTCCTTGCATTATAATTGATTTATTCAATTTTCTATCTATGTAACTGTCTTGTTGATTTGCAGGTGGTTTTACAGTGAAATGACATCCATCAATAGCACCAATAACACCTACATTTTAAAAATACAACATTAATTAATATAAAATATAAAATTACATTTTGTAATTTTTACCTGGAAAGTTTGATTTTTCATTAAAAACTTTTGAAATTTCCACACAGTCTAATTTTTTAGGCCAAACGATTATTTTTGAAGAAAGTCTGCATAAAGTATTCACTACTAGGTCAACAATTTTTTTAACAGTAGATTTTGCAATGTTGAAAAATTCACCAGCAGTGAACATAGCTCCTTCTTTAGCCAAGTACCAAAGAGCTACCAGTAACTGAAAATTTTTATAAGTTTTAAAATGGTATTAAACTTTCCAATTGCCAATTAATACGATATATAGTTTACTTTTTTTTCAATTGTCATAGGTTGGTAACCTCCAGTATAACATACTTCCATTTGTGCATCTTGCTTAAACATTGATACCAGTTTTGTAAATGTATTTCTTGTCATTCGGAAATGCCTATGTAATTTTATACAACATATAATTAAAAAGTAAATCTTTAACTACTAAAATAGTATAGGAAATAAATTTGTATATCTCACTTACCCATGAAAATCTTGGTCAAGGTATGCATCTATCCATTTATCTACTGTAGTATTTATCCTGTAATGTCTTTGTCTTTTTAATAATGCTAAAATAAGTTTTCTTCTTCTTTTAACATTATTTTTTATTATATTATGCTGTATTATTAAATTGGAACAAATTTTTATATGTTCATTGTTTAATTCATTTAATTGACTAATTATAATAGGTAAAACTGCGATCTCCATAATAATAAATTCAATAAATAGAACACCATACACAGTAGAAACAAAAAATACACAAACTGTTAATCAAACAGTAGAATACTTATAAACAAAATTGCCTTATCTCCAATCACTGTGAGAGTAACCCTAAACACTTAGTTTTCGCGGTTTTTTAACCAATAAACAAAAATGTGTAAACACAACTGATAATGAATATAACCAGGTTAATCGCAAAAACACGTCTATAGTATTTATAGTCAATGCTATTATCTTCATAATATTATTGATTTCATTTAAATGTTTTAACAATATAATTAATAGTTATTAGGTATATTAACTAATACAATAATTTATAAAAATGGACAAAAATTATTATATATAAAGGTATAAAGATATACCTGTTTAATAATTATAATTTAATATTCATAGCTATAAGTATTGTTATAAAAGTATTGGACTTTACAAATTGTCATATTAATAAATACCTATGCAAAAATATTAAAAATTAAACTAATTTTTAATAGATAAGTTGGCTATAGTTGTATTTTTATGTATAATATGGTTAATTTATAAATTCTAGAATATTTATTTTTAATCCATTTTTATCTTCATGGTTTAAAATTTATAAAATTAAGTAAAGTAACAGATAATCAATTTATATTGATTATTAAATATTATGAATATTATTAATTATTATTATATTATTATTACTTTTTAATTTATATTAAAAAGTAATAATATTCTTACTTGTTTGTTTGAATTCATTCCATCCATAAATGATGTTATATTTCCTTGTTATTTTTTGTATATTTTGTATATTTCCTTATTAGAATTTTGGTTCTGGATATTTTTAATAGCACTTGTACTATTCAAGGAACTATCATTTGATGTTGCAAAAAATAAGTATTTAAAATAATAAAATACATCTATATACTTACATAATTTTTAAATGGTCTTAAATTGTATTTTTAGGTATGTGTAAAAATGTAATTACTATATATTTATTTTTAATTAATAGTTTAATAGGTAGTGTAGCTTAGTTTAGTAAAAGAGTAGTATTTTAAAAGATTAGGCCAATTTTTACTTACCAAACTGATTTGGTGTTGTCTTATTAATGGACGAAGGAACTTTCTTACAAGATTGAAAATGTAACACCATTCTTGTCACATTTTCTTTGTATGTTTGTTTACAAAATACACATTTATAACGCTTGTTTTCAACTTCTAAAAAATACTTCTTTTTAATTTCTTGCGGTTTCATTTTAATTTTTTTAATATTTAATGACACAAATTAAATAAAAAGTAAACTATTAAACAAATTAATGTAAAATCAATAAGTTTTAAATAATAAAAGTTGATAATAGTATCTACAGCCATGAATCAAGTGATACTGCCATAGTCCATAGGCAGCGATGTGCCGATGTCAATAAAATCAAATTTAGCACGGCTGTAAATAAATATTATGTCTACAACCGTATTATTAATAGCGATAATAATTGCTGGTATTATAATATGTTATGTAAATGTAATAATGTAGTACACTATCAATAGTTGTGAGCATGTTGAACGTTTGACGTTTTAAGTTATATTATATCAACTATTCCATTATATTAATATATTAAGAATATTCATATCGTTAAGACGTATAATTTAAGGTGTCACATGCTAATATTTTCGGTAAAATAATATTTACCTGTAAAAAAAATAATTGGTAAACTTACTGGTAATTTACCTTACCTGTAAATTTACGCAGTAAAAATTTACCGAGCTAACATCTCTAATATATATATATATATATAACTATTGGTGTAGGTACCCTCAAAGATTTTCTACGAAATGAGTGGTCTGCACTAATAAAAAGGTTTGGAACCGTTACTTTAGATAAAAGATTAACTTTCTTGCATTTAATAAATGTAGTACTTAACATACCTAAAAATTAATTTTTATGTTTCCAATTTGTTTAATCCTATTTTGAATAATTTTGGGAGACAAAATCAAAAAAGTAGGAAAGTCAACCTAAAGAAGAATTTAAAACAGTTTTCAAAATCCTTATCCCATTAATGGATTGATCGGTCCGTTAAAAATAGAAAACATCTTAATTCCTATACTACGCGTGTGATATAAAGAGAAAGAAAATCAAGGCTTGCAATCTCCTTAAGTGATTTTGTATACTTTTATAAAATAAATAATAGTCCCTAAATAAGTATTTCAGTCTTGACACTGTAAAAAAAATAAGAAAATTGTTTGGTAATAATATTTGTGTAGAAAAAACAAGTCTGTATAAAGAGAAATCCAATTTAATATTTGCATACTTTAAAAGCTTTTTTATACTTATTTTAATACCGTATTAATTAATTCTTATTTTTAAATAATTTTACATAATTTTAAACAAAATTGTTAGTGCATATTTAAGTACATATTTTATAGCATATTACAGCATTTTTAGAAGCATATTTTGAGGATTATATGTCCATATAAATCCGGTCTCTAGTTATAAGCATAACACACCGCGTTACACACTACGTGTCATATGACGCAGCATAGACATTGCATAATTTTTTTTTTCTTCTTGAAAACGGAAAAACTATAATACCCGATGATTTATATTAGTTGAAATTTACCAGGTTGGCGACTCGATAACTACGATGTTAAAAAAAAAGCGCACCGGCTCCCATAAGTGTTACTCGAACCCCGAAGAGAGTCCGGTCTACAATTACCCGAATCCTCGTTTGGTGACCGCCGGTATAAGTTGCGGGCCAGCCACGCTCGCCAGTGACGCTAAAAGACGTACAAAGACCGCGTGGTGGTGGGAGTATTTTTCGACGTGCGCGACAGCGAATGGGTTTATTACACTTTCCACGTCCGTTTGGAACCGGACCCGTTCGGTTTTCGGCAAATGACCGAATTCACTGCCGAAAATAGAACAGCCGTTCGGTGAACACCGCGTAAAACGCAGCGTCGCGCGCCGTTTTCAAACTTTTCACGGATAGCGCGCGGGCAACAGAACATCGTGTTCACGGTTGCAGTCATAAACAGACCCCCTCCCCCCACCCATAATGACAGCGGTTCCGATAAGCGTTGCGTTGCAGTCGTATGCAGTTCGTACGTTGCCAACACTTATCGGTGCGTCATACGGACGTCCCTGGAAACATCGGAAAACGGTGTTTCGCCCTTTTGTCGCACCGCCATCGGCTGTCGGCGCGGGGCCAGTTCGTTGTTCGTTCCACGCGTCCGTCCATCACCGCGGACGAACCGGGCGGCCATCGATCGTTTCGGTCACACGCGTGCACGTTACGGCACCATGAGTTGGATATCTGTCGGCGAAGGATGCGCGATATATTGAAGTTTTTTTACTTACCACCGCGACCCGGTGCGGTACTCGTCGTACGGATTTCGAACGAAATGTTTTCGCACAAAACGCGGCGGCGACGAGTTGACGTTTGCAACGTCCGAGCACCGATGTGTGAAAAAACCAACGGCCGAACAATCCGTGCCGGAATAGATTTTTTCGGCTCTCGACCAGGAATATTTTCCCGAACGGGTTCATTTCCATTTGAGATTTCGTGCCGTTGGTCGACTTTTTCACAGCTCGTGTAACGAAAATATTTCCGTTCAATTTTTCTCATTTGAGTTCGAACATTTTTTTGTCGCCTATCTATTTTATACTGTAAGTTTAACATAATCAGTAGTATTCATCTAGCAGTTAATTAATATAAATTAATTTATTTTCGTTTAACCGATAAGTTTATATGTCATTGCACCTTCGTTTCTTTGACTTTCTTTAATACTTCATTTTTTTAACGAATCGGCGAACGGTTAGGTTATAATCGGTTGTAATCGATGATATTTATAGTTATTTAACTATTTTTAACAATAAAATGTTTTCATTTATCGATAGTACAATTTTTAAATGCATTAATTTTTTAATTATTTAAGATTTCAACCGCTTTGGTTTTTTTATTTTTAAATGAATCAAATTTTTTTTAGTTTTATATTCGTAGACATATGACATTTTCGATCGAGTTTATACTTATTACTATACGAATATGTTATTTTGTAATTAAAGACATTTTAAATAAAAAACTAAATATCAATAATAAATACATTTAAATTAATAAAAATAAAATGTTTGCACTTTGATAAGTTAAAGAAATAAATAGTAGGTAAAACACGATTGCGTACGTTCGTTATCGGTAATACCTTTTTAAGCTACACAATTCCGTACGATTTTACCAGATTTTTAACTATACGATTGCGTACGAAGTTTTAAGCGTTGATGCTAATTTTCATACCGGTATTGGTATATACCATATGCCTATACGAGTGAACTTGAAAAAGTTAATAAATAATTTGTGTTTTATCGCTTTTATTACCCGTGTTTATTGTTAATGATATAAAGTATATCAGATACAATGAAATTCCGTTATTTCCGTTATATTATATGGTATTTTCCGAATTTCAGTCAAAGTAGTAGGTTATAGATGTCAAGGAATCCAAATTTAAGCATTTTCAAATAATTGATTAACAATAATTCTATTAAAATAAAAAGTGTCGATTTTATTTATTTATTAATTACTTTTCTTTTATTTAATTAGCCTCATTTAATTTATTATTTCATTATTACTATTTTATTGAATTATTGTAGAACTGTTAGCACATGTATTTATATGTATCTATATTTATTGAATATAATACAGAAAATTAGTAAATTTGACAGCGTTGCAAACAATTTCATATGCAATCGTGTTTCCAAAAAGGAAAAACGTACGTGTTCTACCCTAAAATGTCATTAAATTTCTATTATACTTTTAATTTGTCCTACTCGTGAAATATATGAATGAAATATACGGATTAAGTATTTTCAATTTGTATATTTTAATAATAATTTTTCAATAATTTTTGGAACTAAAAGTTAATTATTTTTCATCGTTTGTATTAGATATTTTTAACTTTACCAATGTATATTGTGTTAACTTTTAAGCAGATCCTATTAAAAATAAAAACCAATCTTCCACTTAATATTTTTTATTTCTACTAAATGGTTAGAAATTATGTAAATTTAACGTTATGAAATACTTAGCATTTATATAAAAATATAATAGATGTTTTTTTTAGAATATTAATTAAACCGAATTTAACTATTAAAATATAGAGTAACATTATTTAATAAATATGTTAATTATTTTAAATTTTATTTTTGGTTTTTTAATAATTTTCGTATCATTGATATAATTTTTTAAATAATTTGATAAGTTTTAATCTTGTAAATTGATAATGAATACTTATTAAAACTAATGATATATAATAGATTTTAATATTTTTGTCTTAGTTAACGGTTTATAACTTATATTTATACAAAAATGTATTCCACCGATAAAAATGCCCAATCAAAAAGGTCCTATGTGTTATTATATACACCTCCTCATTTGCGTACTGGGAATGCAGATACCAGATCTAGAACCAACCATAAAACTGTAAAACATATGAATAATAATTCAAAGGTAATTATTTTTATTTATTTTTCATTAAGTAAAAATGAAAATATTTTTTTTTTATGTCACACGTTTTTATAGTACACGTTATTAGTGTCACAGTGTAACAAATTAATTTACAATAATATTTTATTTGTAAACAATTTAAAATTCTATTATTTTTGATTATTTTATATATTGATCTAAAATTATATTTGATGTGTATATAATTTAAAAATTAAATAAAATTTACTTTTTTATTTTTAACAAGTTAAAAAAAAAAAATTGTGAATTTTTTAGGGAAGTTCGGGGATTGAAGAACAATTTTCTAAATTAAATATAACACCAAGACGTAAACACTATGATTTTGGCTTATCTACATATTATGATTATAGATTTAAGGTATGTAATAACAAATTTTTTTTTTCAGAGCTTGTTTTTAATATTTTAATAAACTACCAATTTCCTTGTACTTTTTTTTTACTCAAAAAAATCATTTAATTATTTTTTTTATACTTACTTAAAATAAAGTAACCAATGTTCTTTAAAAATATTTCGGTGAATAAAAATAACCTTTTTTACGAAATTTTTGCAAATATTTATTTATTAATAAACGTATTCAAATTAAACTAAAATACAAAATGTGTAGTATGTATACTTATTCACATAATCTGATATAAAATACAATTTTTTTGAAAAACTCCTGATATTTTATTGAATATTTGTGTGACATTTTAGTGGTAAAAATGCTCGCACTTTAAGATAAACTTATAAGTAGCAAAAGTAAGAAATGTTTTTGAATAAAAATTGTACCAAAAACTATTTAATTTTAAATAAAATTTCGTATATAGGTATTTTTTTGAATAGAAGTTCCACTTTACTTGTTTTATTTGTCTTTAAGGAAATGTAAAATATTTACCATGTTAGTTTTCGTTACATAGAATTAAATTTAAAAAACCTCATGACTTTAAAAATAATAGTTGAGTAAACAAAATTTTGATGTGGAATATAAATAATGATAATATGTAACAGGAATCAAACGTAATAATTTAATGTGTGATAATTACTACACATTTTATTTGTTATGAGTAAAAAATTTTTATATTTTATGTAATATTATTACAAGTTTAATTTGTATAGACATAAATATAATATATTTTTTAAATTAACAAATTAACAGATTGTATAAACACTGTTAAAATAAAACCATATACTATTAATTATTAATATAGGGATCTCAAGCCGAGTATCAGAAAAAGCTTGAAAAATCAACTACATTGTATGTTGGAAATTTAAATCTGTCAACAACTGAATTAGAAATCCGAACACTTTTTTCAAAGGCAGGAAACATAAAAAGCATTAAAATGGGAATCGATAAGAAAACATCGGGTTTTGGTGGATTTTGCTTTATTGAGTATGTGTAAATAAATTATAATGAACAACTGATCCCATGCCATGCATGAAAATATTATATGCTAAAAACTCATATTAAAAGAATTTATACACTTCCCACTTTAATATACTTTCATTTGTAGATATGAAACGCGAGCAGAAGCTGAGAAATGTAAGAATAAGAAAGACATATTCTTAAAAGGCAATAAGGTGTTTGTCGATTGGGATGCCGGGTACTCTGAAGGCCGAGAATATACACGTAGAAAGATCCAGAGATCTGCATCAGTCTATCCATCAAACCAAAAGGTGATTTCTTAACTCATTTAAATATTTGCAATTTATTTTTTTGTTAATTTGCGTATAACATAATATGTGGTGGGTGCTCTTTTTATTCGAAAAACTTAAATAACTGACAAATTAATCCATTGCCAATTCTAGACTATACATAATAGTTTTGGTTACTAGTAGTTGCACATTATGTTTTGTAATAAGCCAACATAAAAGTAATTTTGGACACAGAAATTTGGTACCAGATGATAGTATCTCAAAAAAAAATTGTTTTATTTCTAACTTGTTAAAATTAAAAAAAAATTGACGGTAAAAATTTCAATAGTCAAAAGTTTTCATTAATTAAAAATAACTAAAAATTTTTTTTTTCATTTCATAATAATTTTTCTTACACCAAGTCAATATTAGTATTGTATCATTTTTATTATTTGTTACCATTTTATGCTCATCACATAAATAAGTGAAATAAAAATTAAAATAATTATATATTTCACACGATCTTATTTAGAATTTGTTTATGATGAAAATGTTAAAATGTAATTCACCAACATATAATAATTGCATGTAAAATATGAGTCAAAACTATGTACTTTATTTATAATTTATTTATAATAATTTATTTAATATATATGTTTCTTAGGTAAATGCACGTGTAAATCATGTAATGAAGCAAGATAACCAGCGTCTAGCATAAAGAACAGAATATTTTTTTCGAATTAATGTATTTTTATATTTTATTTTTCTTTCTTAAGTACTTTTTTGTACTAATATTTTGTGTTTTATTTTTTTTTATATAATTATTTATCGATTTACCCTCTTTTATTTGAATACCTATAAACTTCAATACTCTATTTTTGTGATTTTGTACATAACCCTATTGTTTGTTGTAAATATATAAGACATATGATAAAACCAGACCAGATTTACAATTTAACAGTGTGTTTAACATAAAATGTCATCATACTGTTTATTACTGTTAATAAAATATATCGAAATAAATAATTATTCTTGTCTTTCATTATACGTGTTGGTGTAATAAATTTTTTCAAAATATTGTACTATTTATACATAAATCAACATTAAACTTCTTGCACAAGAATAAATGTAATTCTAATGATAAGATAATGTCTGACAACGAGATTTGTGTAACTATACTGATCGGTAATCCGTAGATCGTTATAGGGAAACAATACATGAAACCAGAACCGACGAGAACTTTTAAGGGACCCGTGGCTGATCGGTTCCAGGCACCCTATACTTGCACTTGTTTGATCAAGATATACATACTACTCGTACATACTCTAGTACAATAAAAATAAGGTATAAAAGGCTGAGGCGGATATACGCTATAAAAAAAAATTAAAAATGAGTATATAGAAATATACCAGTAGTTCCGATATTAAAATACACCAAATAATGAAATTATATTATATAATAAGACGACGCCGTGATAGATTTGGTGGAGACTCAAATTTGTTGAGTACCAGGGAACAAATAAAACTATAATAATATATTTCTGTGTTACATCGTTACAATTCGGTACATTTTTACATTTTTTTTTTCTTTAGTCACACGCCCGAGGACCATTATATGGTTACAAACTCGTAGCTAATTGACCACCGTCGGTAGTCTGTACTCGCCGGATCGCTATTAGTACTTGGACTGGATTCAGTAGTCGGTACCAACTGCTGTAATCGTTTCAAAGAAATATCGCAATATTTTGTTTAATTAATTATTAAATGTTTAACATATATTTTTATTTCAACTATAATATTTTACATACTATTTTCTTTAGATTAAATATAATTGTTGATAAAATATAGTTATAATTACTAAAGATTACTATTTACAAACATAAGCATTTTTGTATTTTTCACTGTTAACCTACTGCGTCCAAATATCACCAATTTCAATATTGTTTAATCATAAACAAAAAAATAATTAATTAATTATAATTGATTTATGATATTTGTGATACTTATACTCAGGGACGGTTTTATACATGATCGATGGGTGCGATGGCACAGGGGAGAGGCGTTAAAATTAGAAATAAATTTGATAAAATGTTAGCGACGCAAATTATCTACTGTAGGTAGAAATAATAATAATTTTCTCAATGTTGAAAGAAAATTTTAAATTTCAAACTATTTATTTTATTTTATTTTATCTTATATATTTATACCTAGAAATTATGTTTAGCTTAGTATAATATACTAACAACATTTGTACTGTTATGTATGAGTATATTTAATAAAATATCTTTATTTATGAACATTTTTGTGTTAAAAAAATTAAGTGCATATTTTTGAAGCATATTTGTACTTTTTTAAGCACATAAGTGCATGCATATTTAGTAATTTTTAAGTGCATTAAGTTCGGAGCCCTCATAATAGTATAATACATACTGTCTACTATATAGTTTAATATTCATCAGTTATTATTTATTGAAACATGAAAATATTTCATATCTAATAAGAAAACTGCGAAAATATGTAACCGAAATTTGATAGCATCACCATAAGATATTTATTGGTATCACACATTTTTAAAACACATGGTCTGGTAAAATACACGTCACGGTATAGTGTGAACCCGGCTTTATTGTGAATTCAAATAAATTGTACTACCTATATTTATAATTTGGAATATTTACTGTAATGAGTTTTTACACATACTGTACGATTATGCCGCAGTTACCTGTGGATTGAGTCGACACTTGGTACTTACTACTAGTAGGAGCCACATCTAACGTTTAGTTTCAGACGTTTCAGTGCACTGTTACTCGATTTTATATGGATTCATTACTTCCAGAAATAATCGATTCTAGGTTTGATCGAGGATTACCAATAAGGCCAGGCATTCCCAAAAAAAAAGTAATACTACAATAGTTGTAGTATTATAATTATTATTAAATTTATTATGATAAATTATATAAATATAATTACCATAAAACTTACGAATTTATTCGTTATGATTATAGCACCTTTAGCTTTTTATTTTATTTCTAATAAATCTTGGATTAATTAATAATTAGATGTTATGAATATTCGTTCTAAAAATTTTTTTTATAAAATTTGGCAACCGATGATTCTCGCACTCAAATTACAAATGTGTGTAGTAAGCCCAAGACTAAGCATAATGTAGTAATCAATATAATTTAGTATAGATATTAATAAATAGACCTACGTGCAGGAAATGGATAAAATAAAATAATTTAATAATCAATATAATTTAGTATAAATATTAATAAATATGCCTGTGTGCAGGGAATCCAGGGCAAAGGTGGAAACAAGTAGTTTTCAACTTTAAACATAATAAAGTTAAATCGACAGTAAAATAAAGTAATATTAGAATTAAGCCACTTTTACGTCATTGGAACCCGTATAAATACGTGTTGAGCATTTAGTATTATTCAGATGTAGATAGGTAGTTCTAATAGACAGTGTTATACTGGCCATTTCCCGTATAAATAAATTATTGCTCGTCGTGGACTTTGTTACAGCCACATCGCCGCGACTATATAATTCTTAGTCCAGAATAACTTGTTATTTTAATTTTTTGTGTTTTTAACTGTTTATTAATTTATTGTGATAAATTGTGATAAACTAATTAGCTCGTAATATAACAAATTTTGAGGAAGCCATTTTAATAACAATGGAACATGAAAATACGTTTCGTAAATCGGATAATGTAACGAATAATAATAAAAATAATCGGAACAATTTTAAAAATAATTTTAAAGGAAATAATAATAAATTCGTTAGTAAAAATAATTTTGATAAAAGCGCTATTTAATGTTATCGATGCGATAAAATGGGGGGGGGCTTGGCAGAAACCTTCACGTGGTGCCCCTGTTAATGCTATATCCCCACAGCTAACTAATTCTGCCAACACCGGTGCTAAAAATGCCATATAGCTCCTCGAAACGGTCCTTTTCAGTACCAATCTCTGTTAATGCCTCAGCATTTACAGTGCTAACACAAAATATCGAGAATTTCTCAGCGTGTAAAAGCGAACTACTTGATTTCCTTATGCACGGAAACCCAATGTGGTGTTTTGTGTTTACAAGAGACGCACCGTGACGAAACTAGTATCTGTCCAAGAATCCCGGGAATGAATCTAATAATCGAAATACCTAACGCACCCTACGGAAATGCAATATTTGCTAGGCCGGGCCTAGTCATTGACAGCGCTGCATTCAGCCACACAAATAACATTGAAATTCTAACCATTGAAACTAAAAAAATGTACAATTACATCGATATACAAACCACCGAACGCTGATTTTACCTTTGAAAAACCATCAAATTTTGAAAATAGCTCCACAAAAATAGTAGCCGGAGATTTCAATAGCCACAGCCCCACCTGGAGGTACTCAGAAACTGATAAAAACGGTGAAATGGTGCAAGAATGGGCTAAAAATGAGCTACTTGACTTAAGTCATGACCCAAAGCTTCCTTATTCATTTAATAGTGGGCGTTGGAAAAGAGGATACAACCCGGACCTAATCTTTGTAAGTAGTAACATAAGCCAGCAATGTCTCAAGGATGTATGTACTCCCATACCAAAAACACAACACAGAGCATTAAAACTATAAATAAACGAAGTAATTAGGTCTGAATCAGTTCCATTCAAGAGGAGATTTAATTACAAAAAAGCTAATTGGGAAAAATACAGGGAGGCTATCGATAAAGAAATTCAGAACCTAGAACCAACACCAGAAAACTACAAAATATTTGCGAATAAAGTAAGAAAAATATCTAGACAACACATACCACGCGGCTGCAGAGAAAAGTACATACCAGGTCTAAGTAAAGAGACTGAAAAGCTGATAGAAATATATCAACATCTGTTTAAAAACGATCCATTTAGCGATGAAACTATTACGGCAGGAGAAAATCTTACTATACAGCTTGGAGAAGACAAAAAGAGAAAGTGGCATGATCTCATTAAAAATACTGACATGACCAGAAATAGCAAGAAAGCCTGGCGCCTAATAAAAAAGCTCAGTGGAGACCCAACTGTCCATAGAACCTGTATAAATGTCACTGCTAATCAGGTAGCCGCAGAATTACTTAAGAATGGTAAACCCAGGAGAAAAATCATAAGAGACAAAAACAATGAATCCCACATCTTCGACCATGATTTCCAAATAAATGAATTCATCACTAGCTTGAAATAAAGAATGGGAAAGTGGCTGGGTACGACGAAACAATAGAACTAACAATAGAACAAATTAAACACTTCGGGCCAGGAGCGAGTCGATGACTACTCCAACTACTAAATACATGTCTTCATAGGAAACGTATACCCCAAAGCTGGAGAAAGTCTAAAGTAATAGGCCTTCCCAAACCAAGAAAAGATCTAAGTGATCCAAAAAGTTACCGACCAATATCATTGTTATACCACGCCTATAAATTATATGAGAAAATGGTTATGAACCGCATTAAAACCCAAATAGAAAAAATGCTGATACCGGAGCAAGCTGGTTTTAAACCAGGCAAGGCTTGTACAGGTCAAGTACTCAACATATGCCAACACATAGAGGACGGTTTCGAATACAAAAAGAAAACGGGAGCGGATTCAAAATAATTCTGTATGCTTAAAATCTCTTATATCATTATATTCATAATATTATTATTATTATTATTTATACAAAGGCATATTGCAATTACACTATTTCTATTTTCAACA